CCCCCCCCAGTGCCGTGTGTAAGTGTGTGTGTGTGTGTGATCAGATCTCATTCCACTCTACCTTACGGAAGACACAGGTCCTACAGGATTCAGGTCACACACTAAAACAACAGCAGTGTTTACCAGGCTGGGAATTACCAGGGACCTCACGATACGATATTATCATGATACTTCCTGTATTACGATTCTCACAGTTCTATATGTACAGTATTATGATTCGATACTGTGATTTTATTGCGATTCGATGTTCCAAACATATTGCTCACCATATGTCTGCTGCAGAGGGACAAGAGAGAGTCATGAGAAAAAAGGTTTTGATCAGTTATGAAAATAAAAGTGGTGAAAACAAACTGCCTCACTTTTTAAAAAGAAGATGGAGAACAAGCTATGAAGGAAAAATACTGGAGTTTTGGTGCAGGTGCAGCCAACTAGCACAAAAATAATATTGCGATATTGTCAAAACAATACGATACTATATATTGTCAAAAATAATATCCCAATATGTAACTGTATCGATTTTTCCCCCATCACTAATAATAGTACATTATTGCAATATCTAAAAGTGAGAAATATAGGATGCCACAATGATAGCAACACTTTAATCGTGTCCTTATGACATAGGAAATAATTGACACAATTAACGAGTGCTTTAAAATAGATAAAATACACAGGCAAAGCAATAAATACATGAAACATGGTTTGTTTTTTGTTTAATGTGACATGGATGTACTGTCTTTTCTATTTGACTGTTCAGAAGTGTGTACGTGTGTGTGTGTACCTGCGTACACTTGCTTAATATGTGTGTGTGTATGTGTGTGTGCATGCTTGTTTATTTAATGTGTGTGTGTGTGCAGCTGTGTGTGTGTGCGTGTGTGTATGGATATGTGTATCCTGTCCACAACATCCTGCATGTCTATAACTAAAACAGCATCTACATTTCCTCTCTCTCTCTCTCTCTCTCTCTCTCTCTTTCTCTCTCTCTCTCTCTCTATCTCTGTGTGTGCTGCTGAACTACGACCATAAACACAGTCCATATGAAGGCTGTCATGTTCCTGTTCTAGTGATGTGCCTGCTGCTGTAGAACGTGTGTCAGGGCCGACCAGGGAGAGAGGAGACAGGCAGGCTAGTATTGTATGGTTCACTGGAGCACAGCCACTCTCACAGGCCTGCTGGCTCAATTAAAACACACCTAGTCTTATCCTTATGGCTCTGCTTTGCATGTACACTGGGCGAAATATCTCCCATATCTAAATATACCTCCAACATCAAGTATCTGACTTCCCCTCGAATAACCTGCTTTTATTCAGGAATAGTTTTGCATATTTCATACTATAGTATACGTAGCCAGTTGGATTTCCATAGAATATGGGATAAATTGCTTTTATGTACACTGAAAAAAATATAAACGCAACGTGTAAAGTGTTGGTCCCATGTTTCATGAGCTGAAATAAAAGCTCCCAGAAATGTTCCATATGCACAAAAAAGTACATTTGTTTACATCCCTGTTAGTGAGCATTTCTCCTTTGCCAAGATAATCCATCCACCTGACAGGTGTGGCATATCAAGAAGCTGATTAAACAGCATGATAATTACAAAGGTGCACCTTGTGCTGGGGACAATAAAAGGCCACTCTAAACTGTGCAGTTTTGCCACACAATTGGCATGCTGACTGCAGGAATGTTCACCAGAGCTGTTGCCAGAGAATTGAATGTTCATTTCTCTACCTTAAGCCGCCTCCAACGTTGTTTTAGAGAATTTGGCAGTACATCCAACCAGCCTCACAACCGCAGACCACATGTATGGCGTCGTGTGGGCGAGCAGTTTGCTGATGTCAACGTTGTGAACAGAGTTCCTCATGGTGACGGTGGGGTTATGGTATGGGCAGGCATAAGCTACGGACAACGAATACAATTCCATTTTATCGATGGCAATTTGAATGCACAGAAATACCTTGAAGAGCTCCTGAGGCCCATTGTGAGGCCCATTTTTTTCCTGTGACCAACAGATGCATATCTGTATTCCCAGTCATGTGAAATCCATAGATTAGGGCCTAATTAGTTTATTTAATTTGACTGATTTCCTCATATGAACTGAAACTCAGTAAAATATTTGAAATTGTTGCATGTTGCATTTATATTTTTGTTCAGTATATAAAATGCTTCACCTTGAAAATAAATGTTGAGGGTCAATCTTCTCCACGTCTATAAATATATTACTGTGACGTGCTGAGTAAGGGCTATAAACTATTTAAACATATTAAGTGCAGCAAAAATACCAGGCCTAAATATATGTTAATATGATGATGATCCTGGCTATTCAAATGTAAACAAAATTGAAACAAGTGCATTCTTAAAAATACATTTGGTAATGGTAGTTACCAAAGCATGAAAAATTGTAATTTTTGATCAAATATCATAATGAAGATGACATTCTCAGCACAGATTGACAATGTTAGCTCTGTTTTTACATGGACCCATTTTAATATGACAGTGAAAGCTGTAAAATCTATTCTATGTGCTGCTGATGGCGGATCACTGCGTGTATAAAAACAGCATCCCGTGTCAGAGAGGGACCCCTTTTAAAGCACCAGGCAGCTTTAACGCCTCTGGCCTCTCCTCCTCTCCTCCTCTCCTCTCCCCGTCTCCTGTCTCTCCCCGGTTACTCAGTATGCAAGTCTGGAGGGGGAAATGCTGACATAATGGAGAAACGTGTGGGGTTAATTGATAAATATACGGGGAAGGAAAGGAAGGAGCATGTCAGGGGAATGGTTTATTACACTGCAAATGAAGGAGTCGGGGAGTTTTACACCGCAGTAAAACCGTTATGGTGAATTAGCCCTCTTACGTCTGCCCGGACGCTAATGTACATGGAGAGAGGCTGGAGAGAGGACTGGGGACGGGGTCGGATGGGGATGGACGGGACAGGTCTACTAGACCTAGGGCTGGACGATATGGGCAAAATATCATATCACGGTATTTAAAAGAAATTGGACAGTATGACAGTATTTGAATAATAAAGGTCTAAATTTGCTTTATGAGTAGTGCGTGAGCCTAGGGTGGCAACACATACATTCTAAGTGATTTCAATGGGTCTTTCTCCAATCTGATTGTTTTACACTGTTCAATTCAACGAAAAATAATGTTAAGCATTTTCATTCATTTCTACATTTCCTGCACTCATTTGAGATCATTTCCACACTGCCACGTAGGGCTGCACAATATGGGCAAACAATCTAGGCCTTCATTTTAACCAAATGTTGCGATTTGACAAACACTTGGGTGAACTGTTGGAATCATGGAAATAGAATGATTATTCTAATTCTATAGTTAGAATATAATAGTGGGCACTTTGAATACTGTGTTGTTTGACATGACAACGAATGAAAATGCCAGGGAGGACTTATTGTGACAGGGTAGGAACCAAAGTGTTGATACGTGTTTCCTATGGGACCCTATAATCTTTGGCTACATCAAATGTTTTCTCTTAGCTACTTCATGTAGCTAACATATTCATGCTTTGTTTATTCCTTTTTGATTTAGAGAATACTGTTGCACAAACAACATGCTGATTTAGGTCTACACCATCATTGGTATTATCAGGCTGTATAGCTAATTACATTTGCTCTGACTCAGTACATATATTAGCTAGGTAGCTAGCCAGCTAACTAGCGATTAACATTAGCGGCTAACAAGATTTAGGCCCAACTTGCTAAGAAAAGACAAACTAGCTGTTTGCAGATGTAAGAAACACAAACTAATAGTGTAATTATAGAACACTAGTGGATTTATATTAAGAAGCAAAGTGAAAACAGCATTGTTGTCATCAACATTGTTTCATATGCTGCATTGACCATGCAGAGACTGAACGCAAGTGTCTCGTGGTAGAGGAACAACAAATGCATTCCTTGAGTGACAGGGGGTGGGGCTAGGTCTGTGTGGAACGCGGCATGGAGAGAGAGAGCGGAGAGAGATGACTCAAATAGCGAAGTAAACTATAAAAATGGACGTTACACACATTTAACAAACCAAACATTCAAATGCCGTTATAGAAGGTCAAGTAAAAACCCAAACTGGTCTGTGCATCAATACCGGTATATAGTAAAATACGGTGTACCGCCCAGCCCTATCTCACACACACAAATAAATGCATGCATGCATGTGCGTGCATATGCAAGCACGCACGGACACTCAGGCAGGCACGCACGCTGCCCCCTCCCGCCTCCCCATTCTTACCAGTGGCCTACTTTATTTTACTTATTAATTGCTCATAATGAATATCATTCGTATTTAAACACAGCTCGTATATCACACACATCATGTTGATGCATTACGCCCAGGATAATTAACAAGAGGAGGCCGCAGCAAAGCGTCATCTTCAGATGAAACATTTTTCCCCCTGTCCTGTCCTGTCCTGCCACAAGCCTGGAGCCTTGCTCCACAATAATGATCATAATAAAAAGACACTGTCGCGGATGTGTGGCTGGGAGGCGAAACTTGGGGGGTGGAGGAGGGGGACTAGAGAGGATAGAGGGGTAAAACAAGCAATTACTGAGGCAACGTTAAATATGCGTGCGTGAAAATGTGTGCGTGTGCATATGAGAGCATGTATATGTGTCTGCTTATGTTTGTGTGTGTGTGAATGTGTGTGCGTGTATTTTTGTCTTTATAGGAGCGTACGTGCGTTTGTGTGCGCATGCATGTGTGCGTGTGTGCAAATGTTTGTGTGCTTATGTGTGTGTGTGTGTCTAGCACTAGGCAGTGGGCCTAGGCAGCGGCGTAGAGGCATCAGTTGAGCGGGCTGATGGATGAAAGCCTAATGCGAGGGGAAGGAGAGGAGAGGCGGCCAGACGTGCCCACTACGTGCACTTCATTAGACACTGTAATTAGCCACCGTCCACCATTAGAAAGCACTGGTGGTAAGAACGCTAGCTACTGTTAGCTTAATGTCACAACATCAAAGGCCAGGGAGAGGGCTGGGGATGGGGCTGGGGATGCATTGGGTTAGAGGTAGGATATGAGCCTGGGCTGGAGGTTGGAAACAGGGGCTGGGGGCTGTGGCAAGGACAGGGAGACCCGGACAGGGGATGGGGCTGGGGATGGGGCTGGGTTTGCTGCATTGTCACTGGCGGCTAAGGTAAGGACCATGATTGGTATGAGGCTGGGTATGCATTGGTATGAGGCTGGGTATGCATTGGTATGAGGCTGGGTATGCATTGGTATGAGGCTGGGTATGCATTGGTATGAGGCTGGGTAGGCATTGGTATGAGGCTGGGGATATACAGGACTGTAACTGCAATATATATATATATATATATATATATATATATATATATATAGGAAAATACATACATTTTAATGATGTGATAGAGATGTAAGAAAGGGAAAATACTACTGATGCTTAGTGGGCAACATATCAGGAATACCTAATGAATAAGGAAAGATGACATCTTAGTTACAGTGATGAGTAAGGGGGAAGGGTGGCTTGGTGAGGGCTGAAAGGGTGAGGGGAGCGGGGGGAGGGAGGAGGGGGTTTGGGGGAGGCACCAGGGCTGAGGTTGTCCACTCTAGCAGCCCTCTGAGCCTGATACAGTGGTTATGCTCTCTGTTTGCTGCCGGTGACACAGGTGGTAAGCTAACACACTAATTACCAGAGCGCGAGAGAGAGACAGAGAGAGAGAGAGAGAGAGAGAAAGAAAAAGAGAGAGAGAGAGAGAGAGAGAGAGAGAGAGAGAGAGAGAGAGAGAGAGAGAGAGAGAGAGAGAGGGAGAGAGAGACAGAGAGTGAGAGAGAGAGACAGAGAGAGACAGAGAGAGAGTGAGAGAGAGAGAGAGACAGAGTTAGACAGAGAGAGAGTGAGAGATGGAGATAGAGAGAGAGCGAGAGAGAGAGAGAGAGAGAGAGAGAGAGAGAGAGAGAGAGAGAGAGAGAGAGAGAGGGGACTTTCTCTCCGTATCTCATCTCGTTGACAGCAGCCTGACGTGGTGGAGCTGGGGACCTTCACTGACGATGACAGGAAATAATCATCATCCTCCTCATCATCATCATCATCCTCATCATCATGGCTAGCATCACCAGGGGGATGAGAGGTCATTAGGTGAGCTGAGTGCTGTCACTACAGAGCACCAATCAACAGTGAGACAGCCACATGAGAGGGGGTAGAGATGGCACTGACACACACACACACACACACACACACTGCAACGCAACCTTCACTGCAGGCAACAGAGACATGGAGTGTCTTGCCCTTTTAATTATGGAGTGTGGTGGTGCCGTCTGTAGATTATGGAGTATGTTGCCGTTTTAATTACGGCGTGAGGTAATTGTTGCCATATACAGATGCAGGATCTTAATTTGAGCCAATTTGCTATAGCAGGAACATAATCCTGCAGCAACAGGAAATGTGAATTATTATGTGGATAATAATTAATGGACATTTTTGTAGGGGTTGATACATTCTTTTTAAGGGAAAATCAAGTCTGAAATGTCAAACTTCAGAAGCCTTTTTAAACCTCAAAAACACTACAAGTTTTACATTTCCTGTGTTGCAGTCATAAGAGTGTCTGCTAAATGACTAAGAAGATTGCAGGAAAGTTATCCTGCAACAGGGTGATCAAATTAAGATCCTACATCTGTACTGGAGAAGATACGGGAGAAATGACACACACACAAGCTATCTGACCCGGACTAGGAGGGGTTGGAAAAAAGAAGATTTCATGGACTGTAAGGAAAATGGATCAATAAAGTACTCTTCTTTTTCTTCTGATACCAGAAACAAATGAATATGGCAGAACATGGAAGGCTATGTGGATAGCTCCCCTAAAATAAACATAGCTTTTATACAAGACTGTTGAATGAGTTTAAATGTATTTGTTGTCATGGCTTATCCATGACATATTATCATGACAAACGACTTCCAAGGAAAATCGGCTTCAATCAGCCTAGGCAAACTACACCTCTTTTCAAAAAGAAAGCCCAACAAAAGAGCTTCAATCCAATAGGGTCATTTCCTCAGCCCTGGGTTAACGCATGCTAATCTGGGGAAATAACACTGATCGAGGTTAGTGTGTGTGTGTCACACACATTCACAAATACACACAAACACACAAAGAGAGACGTGCGCACGCATGCACACACGCACACGCAAGCACACACACATCACACAGAGGAGGGAAGAGGTAGTATGAATAAAGAGAGCGAGAGAGAATAGAAAAATTGCTATAATTTAATCAGAAATGCACTTGAAAATCACCATATCTACCATTATCTTCTCCTTAGTCAATGGGAGAGGAGCGCAGGCCAATAGAGATTCATTAGACAGCCAGGTAGGTGTGTGTGTGTGTGTGCGTGCGAGTGTGTGTTTGACTATGTGTATGAAAGTATCACAGTGTGTGTGTTTCAGTATGTGTGTGTGTGTGCGCAGGCTCTCTCTGACGCCACCTCATTGGTAAGCAGGAGAGGTAGGCAAAAAAACAGGACATTCATCACACGCCAGACGAATGACAGAGGATTACTAGTTAGACAGTGTAATAAGCACCATCTAATTTCCTCTTTAGAATCAATTTATGTTTCCCAGCTTGGGATCATCATCATGGGAAAAAGCTTCCCTGCTGAGAAATTAAGGAGTCAAAAAAGCCCTTTTCTATAAGAGGTAGAAGTAGAGACAGACTGGAGTGAGGTAATGGCTTGGTGGTTTCTGATGGCTTGGTATCTTTACTTCCTCTGTCTCTGGGTGAAATAGGACTGTTGAGTTTTCCTCACAAAGTATCAGAGACAATCTGACCTGAGTAGGCCTCAAATAGCCAGACCAAGCGGTCAAGTACAAACCATGTGTTTATGGTAGCTTCATACTGTATGTTCAGTTGAGTTATACACTGTACGTACATTCACATTGCTACAGAGTACTTACCATGATTATACCTGTGTTTTGGGGAAACAGGATTTCATTGCAACACAACTGAAGTGAGAGAAAGGATGAGTAGAATATTATAAGCTGGACCTCTAAGTAGCCAGCTATGTGGTAACATTCACAACAAATGCAGTCTGTTGGAACAGTGGTCTGTGGTTGTGCTCACTTAAACCTTAAAAAAGTCTGAATACAGAAAATGTGTGTGTGCGTGCGTGTTAGTGTGTGCGTGCATGTGTGAGTGCTCCCTAATCCAGTCAAAGCGCTGCGTCTCCTCTATGCTGTGTGTTAGTGTGTGTTAATCAGCGGTGGGGTGCTAGCTCTCCAGCAGGCTAACTGATCAGGCCTGCCTGTGGGCTCACAACAACAACAACAACAACAAACAGAAACAACAAACACACACTCCCCCAGTCACCTCTAAAACAGACAGAGTGAGAGAGAGAGAGATAGAGAGAGTGAGAGGTAGAGGAATAAACCATTCCCCTGAGCCATAGAAAACACCCACCTCAACACATATTCACAAAATGCCTTTTAACCTACACCAGGTGTTTGTTACCAAACTTTTTGGCCCACGACCCCATTTTGATATCTGAATATTCTGGCGACCCCAACCATGTGAAAATAATTATGTAATTAACAGCCAATGTTTACTTTTCTATTTGGGGCTATTGCAGTCAATTGAAAAACATTTGAACAGTATTTCTGATTGTCTTCCCAACTCACCATCACATACTTTTAATGTGGGGCTATGACAGTCAATTGCAAATTAGTCTGACATAATGTATCTTATCTCATCACCACTAATGAGATGGGTGTGCTTGATGCAGGTCGCGTCGGAGATTCTCAAAGTCAGGGGGCGTGGTCGACAGCGCGCACCTCATCACTGCTGTCACATCCAACCTAGATCGATATTTGGTTTTAATGCAGACGAGAGCACTGAATTCAGCTTCACACGGATATGAGTTGGCAAAGGGTACCATGAGTTTTATGGTGCTTTCAAGACAACTGGGAACTCTGAAAAATCCAAGGTCAAATCATGACGTCTGTGATCTTCAGGTCATAAGTCGGAGCTGTAGAAAGAGGCCCGAGTTCCCGAGTTGGAATTCAGAGTTGGATGACTGCTCAAAAAAAAAATCCCAGTCAGAGCTTGTTTTGTTCCGAGTTCCCAGTTGTCTTGAACGCACTGAAGTCAGAAGTCGGACATTTCAGAGTTCCCAGTTCCTAGTTGTTTTGAAAGCGGCATTAAGGCTCAGAGGGAGACAGCAGGGTATTTATTCCCTTTGAGTCAGGAACCAAAACTCCTCCGTAGTGACCCGTGAATGCGTTGTCTGCACCATTCGGTCACGACAGCTCGATCAGCTGTTCGATTTACTTACTAGCGTGTCAACTGAGCCAGGATCACAGTCAAGCGGATTGGGAAGTAGGCCCCAAAGTGCTCTTCCAAGCGCTGGAGGTGAGCAGTCATCACTCGTGTGGGACACTTACTGATGCTGTTTTCTGTTAGAAACATGCACAGCTGAGGGAAGGGGGCATGGTTCGCTTTTGAAAGACTCTCTCCAATAAGAATTATTTCCTCTGAATCCACTGATTCGGTCACTCATCTGTAGAATGTTTTTATATTTACCCTGCATGCTTGCGTTCAGTTCATTCAGTTCCCCAAATATGTCTGTTACATAGGCAAGCAGACATTTTCTTTTCATTACACAGAAAGTCACATCCATTGTGAATGACAACATGTCCTCTCTTAATGCGGAAAATCTTTCCAACACTTCCCCACGATAACCACCAAGCCTCGGTGTGAAATAGAACATTGTCATGCTCTGATCCCATATCTCCACATAGTTTTGCGAACAGGCATGCACGCAGTAGATGTGGTTTGATGTAGTTTACAATTGAAGTTACCTGCTGCAGTATATTGCTGAGTTCTGTGATCAGCTCTTTTGCCGCCAGTTGCTCTCACACATTCATAACTAGAGTGCAGAGGCCTGCCCGCCATTCCGCCATAGATGAAGCCCCATCTGTGTAAAAGCCCACCATTCGATCTCATGGATCCTGTTTTTTGTCAATATAGCCATGCAGCACACTGAACATCCCCTATGCCATTTCATGCTCGGGAATCGTGAGACAGAACAATATGTCCTTATGAATAGCATCCCCCAACATGTATAGCGAACAAAGGTCAATGCATGGACATCTTGGCCCTCAAAGCTAATGTCCATTTGGAGAGCATAAGCTGCAGCGTTTCTGAGTCGTTCAGTCAGAGGTTCCTCTTGATTGCTAACAATAACATACATTCTTTGTTTAACAGTGTTATCTGAAAAATCTAATCAAATCAAATTTTACATACACGTGTTTAGCAGATGTTATTGTGGGTGTAGCGAAATGCTTGTGTTTCTAGCTCCGACAGTGCAGTATATCTAACAAGTAATATCTAACAATTTCACAACATATACCCAATAAACACAAATCTAAGTACAGCAATGGAATGAAGAATATATAAATAAATATATGAACGAGCAATGTCAGAGATAGACTAAGATACAGTAGAATAGTATAGAATACAATATATACATATCAGATGAGTAATACAAGATTTGTAAACATGATTAAAGTGACTAGTGTTCCATTTATTAAAGTGGCCAGTGATTTCTAGTCTATGTCTATAGGCAGCAGCCTCTAATGTGCTAGTGATGGCTATTTAACAGTCTGATGGCCTTGAGATAGAAGCTGTTTTTCAGTCTCTCGGGGTCCCAGCTTTGATGCACCTGTACTGACCTCGCCTTCTAGATGATAGCGGGATGAACAGGCAGTGGCTCAGGTGGTTGTTGTCCTTGATGATATTTTTGGCCTTCCTGTGACATCGGGTGCTGTAGGTGTCCTGGAGGGCTGGTAGTTTGCCCCCGGTGATGCATCACCCTCTGGAGAGCCCTGCGGTTGCGGGCGGTGCAGTTGCCATACCAAGCGGTGATACACCCTGACAGGATGCTCTCAATTGTGCATCTGTAAAAGTTTGTGAGGGTTTTAGGTGCCAAGCCAAATTTTTTCAGCCTCCTGAGGTTGAAGAGGCGCTGTTGCACCTTCTTCACCACACTGTCTGTGTGGGTGGACCATTTCAGTTTGTCAGTGATGTGTATGCCGATGACCTTGAAGCCTTCTCCACTGCGGCCCCATCGATGTGGATAGGGGGGTGCTCTCTCTGCTGTTTCCTGAAGTCCACTATCATCTCCTTTGTTTTGTTGACATAGAGTGAGAGGTTATTTTCCTGGCACCACACTCCCAGAGCCCTCACCTCCTCCCTGTAGGCGGTCTCGTCATTGTTGGTAATCAAGCCTACTACTATTGTGTCGTCTGCAAACGTGATGATTGAGTTGGAGGCATGCTTTGCCATGAAGTCATGGGTGAACAGGGAGTACAGGAGGGGGCTGAGCACGCACCCTTGTGGGGCCCCAGTGTTGAGGATCAGCGAAGTGGAGATGTTGTTTCCTACCTTCACCACCTGAGGGCGGCCCGTCATGAAGTCCAGGACCCAGTTGCACAGGGCGGGGTTCAGACCCAGGGCCTCGAGCTTAATGATGAGCTTGGAGGGTTCTATGGTGTTGAATGCTGAGCTATAGTCAATGAACAACATTCTTACATACAGTGGGGGAAAAAAGTATTTAGTCAGCCACCAATTGTGCAAGTTCTCCCACTTAAAAAGATGAGAGAGGCCTGTAATTTTCATCATAGGTACACGTCAACTATGACAGACAAATTGAGGAGAAAAAATCCAGAAAATCACATTGTAGGATTTTTAATGAATTTATTTGGAAATTATGGTGGAAAATAAGTATTTGGTCACCTACAAACAAGCAAGATTTCTGGCTCTCACAGACCTGTAACTTCTTCTTTAAGAGGCTCCTCTGTCCTCCACTCGTTACCTGTATTAATGGCACCTGTTTGAACTTGTTATCAGTATAAAAGACACCTCTCCACAACCTCAAACAGTCACACTCCAAACTCCACTATGGCCAAGACCAAAGAGCTGTCAAAGGACACCAGAAACAAAATTGTAGACCTGCACCAGGCTGGGAAGACTGAATCTGCAATAGGTAAGCAGCTTGGTTTGAAGAAATCAACTGTGGGAGCAATTATTAGGAAATGGAAGACCACTGATAATCTCCCTCGATCTGGGGCTCCATGCAAGATCTCTCCCCGTGGGGTCAAAATGATCACAAGAACGGTGAGCAAAAATCCCAGAACCACACGGGGGGACCTAGTGAATGACCTGCAGAGAGCTGGGACCAAAGTAACAAAGCCTACCATCAGTAACACACTACGCCGCCAGGACCTCAAATCCTGCAGTGCCAGACGTGTCCCCCTGCTTAAGCCAGTACATGTCCAGGCCCGTCTGAAGTTTGCTAGAGTGCATTTGGATGATCCAGAAGAGGATTGGGAGAATGTCATATGGTCAGATGAAACCAAAATAGAACTTTTTGGTAAAAACTCAACTCGTCGTGTTTGGAGGACAAAGAATGCTGAGTTGCATCCAAAGAACACCATACCTACTGTGAAGCATGGGGGTGGAAACATCATGCTTTGGGGCTGTTTTTCTGCAAAGGGACCAGGACGACTGATCCGTGTAAAGGAAAGAATGAATGGGGCCATGTATCGTGAGATTTTGAGTGAAAACCTCCTTCCATCAGCAAGGGCATTGAAGATGAAACGTGGCTGGGTCTTTCAGCATGACAATGATCCCAAACACACCTCCCGGGCAACGAAGGAGTGGCTTCGTAAGAAGCATTTCAAGGTCCTGGAGTGGCCTAGCCAGTCTCCAGATCTCAACCCCATAGAAAATCTTTGGAGGGAGTTGAAAGTCCGTGTTGCCCAGCGACAGCCCCAAAACATCACTGCTCTAGAGGAGATCTGCATGGAGGAATGGGCCAAAATACCAGCAACAGTGTGTGAAAACCTTGTGAAGACTTACAGAAAACGTTTGACATGTGTCATTGCCAACAAAGTGTATATAACAAAGTATTGAGAAACTTTTGTTATTGACCAAATACTTATTTTCCACCATAATTTGCAAATAAATTCATTAATAATCCTACAATGTGATTTTCTGGAGAAAAATAATCGAATTTTGTCTGTCATAGTTGACGTGTACCTATGATGAAAATTACAGGCCTCTCTCATCTTTTTAAGTGGGGGAACTTGCACAATTGGTGGCTGACTAAATACTTGTTTTTCCCCACTGTAGGTATTCCTCTTCCAGATGGGATAGGGCAGTGTGCAGTGTGATGGTGATTGCATCGTCTGTGGATCTATTGGGTGGTAAGCAAATTGAAGTGAGTCTAGGGTGGCAGGTAAGGTAGAGGTTATATGATCCTTGACTAGTCTCTCAAAGCACTTAATTATGACAGAAGTGAGTGCTATGGGGCGATAGTCATTTATTTCAGTTACCTTTGCTTTCTTGGGTACAGGGACAATGGTGGTCATCTTGAAGCATGTGGGGACAGCACACTGGGATAGGGAAAGATTGAATATGTCCGTAAACACACCAGCCAGCTGGTCTGCGCATGCTCTGAGGACGCGGCTAGGGATGCTGTCTGGGCTGGCAGCCTTGCGAGGGTTAACATGCTTAAATGTCTTACTCACGTTGGCCACAGAGAAGGAGAGCCCACAGTCCTTGGTAGCGGGCCACGTCTGTGGCACTGTATTACCCTCAAAGCGGGCGAAGAAGGTGTTTAGCTTGTCCGGAAGCAAGACGTCGGTGTCCGCGACGTGGCTGGTTTTCCTTTTGTTGTCCGTGATTGTCTGTAGACCCTGCCACATACGTCTCGTGTCTGAGCCGTTGAATTGCGACTCCACTTTGTCCCTACACTGATGTGTTGCCTGTTTGATTGCCTTGCAGAGTTATTGATGTGAGTTTCTGCCTCCCCACACATTGTTTTCACCATATCAATTGCGGCCGGTAATATCAAAGTCTCTGCGATAGTGTGTGGGTTCATAGCGTAGTGGGCCTAGCCATTCACAGTGGGAATGATTCAAGTGCAACGGTCAAGTGTGGCCTTTTCCCATGATCTAAGGCCGCTCTCTTTAATAATTTTCCTTTAGATTTTTACAGTTAACCACATTACAACGATTTTGAGATACAAAGACGATGTTATAATATATACAATTTTTGTTACTCTGGATCCTGATCTATTTTTGATGAACATATCACAAATATTTCAAGAGCAGCCTTTTGCCACCTTCGTAACATTGCAAAAATCAGAAACAGTTTGTCAAAAGCTAATCCATGCTTTTGTCACTTCAAGATTACACTACTGCAATGCCCTACTCTCCGGCTACCTGGATAAGGCACTAAATAAAGTTCAGCTAGGGCTAAATACGGCTGCTAGAATCTTGACTAGAACACTATTTTTCAAAGTTTTACTGCTAACCTACAAAGCATTACATGGACTTGCTCCTACCTATCTCGCCGATTTGGTCCTGCCGTACATACCTACAGTACGTGTACGCGACAGTCACAAGATGCAGGCCTTCTTATTGTTCCTAGACTTTCTAAGAAAACAGCTGGAGGCAGGGCTTTCTCCTATAGAGATACATTTTATGGAATGGTCTACTGATCTATGTGAGAGATGCAGACTCAGTCTCAACCTTTAAGTCTTTACTGAAGACTGATCTCTTGAGTAGTTCTTATGATTGAGGGGTGTGAAAGTGAACGGCAAGGCACTGGAGTGACGAACCACCCTTGCTGTCTCTGCCTGGCCGGCTCCCCTCTGGGATTCTTTGCCTCTGACCCTATTACGGGGGCTGAGTCACTGGCTTGCTCGTGCTCTACCATGCCGTCCCTAGGAGGGGTGCATCACGACGTGCCCACCATAATTTGCAAATAAATTCATAAAAAATCCTACAATGTGATTTTCTGGATTTTTTTTTCTCATTTTGTCTGTCATAGTTGGCGTGTACCTATGATGAAAATGACAGGCCTCTCTCATCTTTTTAAGTGGGAGAACTTGCACAATTGGTGGCTGACTAAATACTTTTTTCCCCCACTGTATATATATTTGTGGGCTATACTCTGCCTCTTCGTGGGCTATACTCTGTTGATATCCCTTTGGTGATGTGGGGGCTGTGCATTGGCAAAGTGGTTGGGGTTATATCCTGCCTGGTTGGCCCTGTCCAGGATAACTTTGGACGGGGCCACAGTGTCCCCTGACCCCCCTGTCTCAGTATCCAGTATCTATGCTGCAATAGTCTATGTGCAAGGGGGTTAGGGTCAGTCTGTCATATCTGGTGTAATTCTCCTGTCTTATCTGGTATTCTGTGTGATCTTAGGTATGCTCCCTCTAATTCTCCCATCTCTCTCTCTCTCCCCCCTCCCGAAGGACCTGAGCCCTAGGACCATGCCTCAGGACTACCTGGCCTGACGACTCCTGAATGTCCCCGTCCCCAGTCCATCTGGTCGTGCTGCTGATCCAGTTTCTGCTGTTCTGCCTACGGCTATGGAACCCTGACCTGTTCATCGGTCGTGCTACCTTGTCCCGGACCTGCTGTTTAGACCCTCTTCCTCTTTCTTTCTTTCTTTTTTTTTTTCTTTCTTTCTTTCTTTCTTTCTTTCTTTCTTTCTTTCTTTCTTTCTTTCTTTCTTTCTTTCTTTCTTTCTTTCTTTCTTTCTTTCTTTCTTTCTTTCTTTCATTCTCTCTCTCTCTCTCAACCTCTGAATGCTTGGTTATGAAAAGCCAACTGAGCCAATTTACTCCTGAGGTGCTGACTTGCTGTACCGTCTATAACCACTGTGATTATTATTTCACCCTGCTGGTCATCTATGAACGTTTGAACATCTTGAAGAACGATGTACTCTTATAATCTCCACCCAGCACAGCCAGAAGAGGACTGGCCACCCCTCAGAGCCTGGTTCCTCTCTAGGTTTCTTTCTATGTTCCAGCTCTCTGGGGTTTTAAGCCTATTTCTCAACTGGTAGCCTAATTGAAGCGCGCTTCCCATTCGCCATTCAAATGCAGGACGGCAGGCTTCATCAGCGCGTCACACACCACTTTGCAATGAGCTGGAGGCAGTATGCATTTTGAAAACATATATTCATTGTTTGAAACCTGAACATTTTACTACATATTATGAGGCATGTTTTACGTTGCTTAAAAGTAGCCTAGGCAAAGTCCGACCATATCCGTGGAGGCAATTATTTTATAACGACTTCCATATGCCATTGAAACCAGTAGCCTATTTCTCTCATGTTCTATTGGTTTTCAACTTTCTTTCAGTGTCCAGTAGCCAAAGGCACAATCCTAGTCATATTAGCAACCCATAGTTGTTGCACCTTTAGATTTCCCCTCTTTCTAAATGTCTCATTCTGACAATGGTGTTTTCCTGCTAATTGTAATATGAAACGAACATTCGGGCATAGCCTACGGTATGGTGCGCATTGCTGCACTTACAATGTGAAGAAATAATAGTTTAGCAACATTTTAAGCTAAATGTTCTGATCTGTTGCATCAGATTAATTGCTTTTTAACTTTTTTATATACAGTAGCCTAGGCCTACTGGTTGTATGAATTTGGGATCTATTGTCCCACAACTGTCCGAGAGTCTGTTTGGAATAGGCTATTTCTTTCTCGACAAGCTGACCAATAGAATAGGTAAACTTTTCTACTATGGGGGATAGTAGACTGACATAGGCTAGTGATTTTGCTGTTCGTTACTCATCTTATTGGCTGAGGAAAATGAAATGTGGAAAGTTAATCTAACATCTTTAAAGTGCGCATCGGAATTCGGTAAGAAGGACGCACTTCGTTGCATCCTTGACTTGCATGTTCTGTTAAAATGAATGACCATAATCTAAGTGTGATTTGTGTCATTCTGAGCACCGTGGGTGGATAACCTAATCAGGTTACGCACCCAATGCATATGGGTCCGATACATTTCTCAAATGTTTGGTAAATTAAAATGCTGACGGTCAAATGTCCGGCGCCACATTTTCATAACAGAAACCCTGCTTGACACATCTCAACACATATGTACAGCTCAACACACACATCCCCCTAGCATTGTGTCCAGTGTCGCAGAGACACACGACATACCCTGCCCCTGCCGTCAGTGGCGGGAGAACCCCGTGGCGTGCCGCCTTGTTTATCTCATTCTGGGGAAAGTGTTCTCTCATTTCCCTCGTTTTCAGGCAATTGGTGTGTGTGTGTGTGTGTGTGTGTGTGTGTGTGTGTGTGTGTGTGCGCTGCGGGGCCGTGGCTGCTGGGAACAGAGCTAATAAAAAACCCTGATCCATGAAAGGCCTTGAGCAAAGACACACTCAATTACCTAATGCCTGGGATAGGGGGGCCGGGGGGCCCAACCACACTGCTGCTGCCACAGCCCACTCATTTACGTATGCATCCCCGCAGGTGTGTGTGTGTGTGGAAGGGGGGGTTGATTTGAGAGTGGCCAGGGTGTATGTGTGGGGGGTGATTGTGTATGTGTGGGTGTGGGTGTGGGTGTGTGTGTGTGCATTTGCGCGTGAGAGAGTGCATGGATTTATTAAATTGCTGTCAAGTTTGACAAATGTGTATAGCTGAAGTTGGGAGGCTTTGTTAGACTGTGCTACATGGTAAAAGCGAGTGTTGTTTCTTAAACTGAGGCTGTGTGTGTCTTCAAATATTGCATGGACTCATATCTCAAATAACAATATAGTCAAAAAGACAGCGGGTTGCCAAAAAAAAAAGGTTGATTTCAATAATGCACAATGAATAGAGAATGATGTGAGAAGAACAGGAATTCCTAGGGGGTAAACACACACACAAAGAAAACAACATTGATACCTGTTTCCCCTGCAGGTTCTCCTGGTGTTCCTCTCTGAAGTATTTGGTCCCGTAGGGGACAGGCTGGAAGGAAGAGGAGGTGTGGAGCATCCCCTCATAACTCCTGTTCTGATGGGCCTTAGAGAACGGCTGGAACCTGGAGAGAAGGAGAGGAGATGACTGATGAAGTCTCAAGTCAACAACATCGACAATGAAGTCATGAGCTATCTATTTGATTAGCTACTATCTATAATCCAGTGTATCTTCAAAACAATATACAGTCCAATCTCTGTAAAGTCCTATCTTTAAGATAATTCCTAGATACAACATTCAGTATGGGCCTCCTCTTCGATCCCTCTATCCTTTCATCCCTCTTCCCTCCATCCCTCCCTCCATGGTGGCAGGGTCCTCTCTTCATCTCAATCCCAGTCTGATATTACATGAATGCTTGTTGGTCCTGTCTAATGCAGGAAGTACCAGTGACTCGCTCAATACGGAAGTGGTCAGAAGACGCGGATGCTACGCTACAGGACTGTTTTGCTAGCACAGACTGGAATATGTTCCGGGATTCATCCGATGGCATTGAAGAGTATATCACCTCAGTCATCGGCTTCATAAATAAGTGCATTGATGACGTCGTCCCCACAGTGACTGTACGTACATATCCCAACCAGAAGCCATGGATTACAGGCAACATCCGCACTGAGCTGAAGGCTAGAGCTGCCGCTTTCAAGGAGCGGGACACTAATCCAGACACTTGTAAGAAATCCCGCTACGCCCTCAGACAAACCATCAAACAGGCAAAGCGTTAATACAGGATTAAGTTTGAATCCTACTTCACCGGCTCTGACGCTCGTCGGATGTGGCAGGGCTCGAAAACTATTACGGACTACAAAGGGAAACCCGGCCGCGAGCTGCCCAGTGACGCAAGCCTACCAGAGGAGCAAAATGCATTTTATGCTCACTTTGAGGAAAGCAACACTGAAGCCTGCATGAGAGCACCAGCTGTTCCGGATGACTGTGTGATAATGCTCTCGGTAGCCGATGTGAGTAAGACCTTTAAACAGGTCAACATTCACAAAGCCGCGGGCCAGACGGATTACCAGGATGTGTACTCAAAGCATGCACGGACCAACTGGCAAGTGTCTTCACTGACATTTTCTCCCTGACGAGTCTGTAATATCTACATGTTTCAAGCAGACCACCATAGTCCCTGTGCCCAAGGAAGCGAAGATAACCTGCCTAAATGATTACCGCCCCGTAACACTCACGTCGGTAGCCACTCCAATATCGCCCCAACAGATCCATAGATGACGCAATCTCAATCGCACTCCATACTGCCCTTTCCCACCTGGACAAAAGGAACACCTATGTGAGAATGCTGTTCATTGACTACAGCTCAGCATTCAACACCATAGTGCACACAAAGCTCATCACTAAGCTAAGGACCCTGGGACTAAACACCTCCCTCTGCAACTGGATCCTGGACTTCCTTACAGGCCACCCCCAGGTGGTAAGAGTAGGCAACAACACATCTGCCACACTGATCCTCAACACTGGGGCCCCTCAGGGGTGCATGCTTAGTCCCCTCCTGTACTCCCTGTTCACCCACGACTGTGTGGCCAAACACGACTCCAACACCATCATTAAGTTTGCTGACGACACAACAGTGGTAGGCCTGATCAGCGACAACGATGAGACAGCCTATAGGGAGGAGGTCAATGTGGTGCCAGGACAACAACCTCTCCCTCAATGCAAGACAAAGGATCTGATCATGGATTACAGGAAACGGCATGCCGAACAGGCCCCCATTAACATCGACAGGGCTGTAGTGGAGCGGGTCGAGAGTTTCAAGTTCCTTGGTGTCCACCTCACCAACAAACTATCATGGTCCAAACACACCAAGACAGTCGTGAAGAGGGCACGACAACACATTTTCCCCCTCAGGAGACTGAAAAGATTTGGCATGGGTCCCCAGATCCTCAAAAAGTTATGCAGCTGCACCATCGAGAGCATCCTGACCGGTTGCATCACTGCTGGTATGGCAACTGCTCGGCATCTGACCGTAAGGCGCTACAGAGGGTAGTGTGTATCACACCATCACTACTCCCTTTCAACACACACACGTCTGATTTCCATCTACACTCCCCCACACACTCAAAGAGCCTCTCTAGCGTGTGTTGTTGCAGCCAAATGGGACTTTTTGTCTGCAGAGTTGATGACATATAACAGTTAGGAGGTGTGTGTGTGGTTGTTTTTGGGGTAGGTGTGTGTGTGGTTTGTTGTTGTTGTTTGCTGGTGTTCAGGGTAAATCGCTATTGCTGAGGAGGAATGCCAGCTGTTAATTACCGTAAGGTTGATTTAGTAAATTACACCCCAGACACGTTGCTTGGGGGAAGATTTATCCTGTGCACTGTGTGTGTATGTGTGTGTGTGGTGGTGGTGGTGGGGGGGGGGGGGTCAACTTGAGTACATCACTAAACAAATAAAAAACAAACAAAAAAAGCTACCTAGGCACTACCCAGCTAGCACATAACGTTCTGAGAATCATTTGTTTTTTAGGTGGGAATTTCAGGACTTCAGCATATCGTTTCCTACAGGTTTCCTCATGGTTCTATTTAAAGTAATGTTCTCAGAACGTTCACAGAACTTTAAGAAACAATGTTCTTCTGTGGGAATTTCAGTACTTCAACATAACGTTTTCTGCAGGTTTCCTCATGGTTCTATTTAAAGTCATGTTCTCAGAACATTAAGAAAACTTTCCATAAAAACCACAAGAAAATATTAGTAATGTTCAAAGAACGTTCAAATAATATTATTTAGAAACATACACATTCTGTTCTCAGCGCCAACTAAACTCTCTATAGCCTCTATCTTGTTAAGTTTGTTCAGGTGTGTTGGCCTGAGTGCTTGTTTCCTTTGCAATGGGGTCTGTTTGAATCGACTAAAATGAACAGCTTTGTATGAGTAAAAGAAAAGAAAATGGCATGCTAGCTCCATCCTTTACAAAATCTCGGTCTCACGTCAGAATTAGATGTTCATCCCTGTGTCTCAAACGTCAAATTTCGAAGTTGTTCCAAACATCAAAGTGTTTAAGGTTAAGTTTAGGCATTAACTCCGATTTTTTTAAGGTTAGGCATTAACTCCGAATGGTTAAGGTAAGGGTTAAGGTTTGGGATACGCTTAAAAATATATATATTTTAAAACGTTCTATAGCTGGATTTGAACATGCGACCTTTGGAATCAGAGGCAGATGCTTACGCCCATCCTCCATCCCCGTCCAAAACGCCCTAGCAAAACCGAAACCTACTTGAAGGTAACAGCACTCACTGTTGCCCCTAGTGGCCGGTTTCCACGTCATCAGACATGGATGGATGCCAAATACTGACTTGTATTACGGGTGACCTGCCTGCCATTCTGGTGGCGCAGTGTACATGTTCAAATAAACCTATAATTTCAGTTCTCAGAACGTTAATAAAACCTCCCACAAAAATGTTCAGGGAATCGTAGTAGAATGTTCTCAGAAGCTCCTTGCAACCTAAAAATGTACGTCCCCAGAACAGGCAAAATGATCACTTCCGTTCTCAGAACGTTTAAAAACGTTCCGTTTTACCGGTTAGGAAACGTATGGTTTCGTTCCCAGAACCAATGGGAAACCAAATTCTTACGTTCCCACAACTGTCAAGGAACCAAATGTGCTAGCTGGGTTTGTATTAATACACTGATCAATAGATACGCTTTCCAGATTTAGTTTTTTTGAGTTGGCGTATGTATAGTACTTCCACTTATATTAACATCTCAGTCTGTGTGGATATTGTGTGGTGTTGTGTTTGCCAATACTATAATGCATGTAGCAAATAAATAATCAGCATCTATCATTAGTGTGACATATTCAAGAGCTAGTAAACTAATTTCCTACTATACATATTTATAGAGAAACAAGGAAGAGAGAGGGACGACTACACCACACAAGGTGGCATGACAAGCCTGGAATTGGTCCGTTTAAGCGATGGTCCTGCATGGCTCCCACGCGCGAGCACACACACCCGCAACCCCCCCGTCTACACACAAACACAAACACAGCCGAGGCGGCACAGACACTGTGGCCACCAGAGACCCTACAAGACAGATTACCCAGCAGTCCTAGCTAATGTGCACATGGGAGGGACATCAGCGGCATGATATTAATGTGGCCCCAATGTCCCAGGTTGCACTGGGCCTGGGCACGCCTCGCCTTGCCGGCTGGTTCCACTCACGGCTCTCATTGCCTCTCGATTGCCTTTTAATAGGCTAGTTTTTATTCATTCAGGGCTATTAAGGAAAGTTTGACTCCTCACCGGGGATCTTTGGGCTGAGGCCGAGCGGCCGGGCCCGGTGACAACACACACATACACATTTACACACACACAGGCACGCATTCACACACACATGGGCATACGTGCACACACACACACACACAGACGCTGCCACCAAAACCGTCAGGAGAGGAGATGGGGAGGATATGAGAGAGAGAGAGAGATAAGAGAGAGAGAGAGAGAGAGATGAGAGAGAGAGAGAGAGAGAGTGAGAGAGAGAGAGACGAGATTGAGGACGAGAGACCGAGAGATAGGACCTAAGGCGTCGAGATCGGTCGCTCGACGTAGAGAGATGAGCTGTTAGACTGAGATAGACCTCGTAGCAGCACGACGCATAGTGAGAGAGAGATATTTGTAGTCTCCCTATGCTTTTTGCTCGCGTCTCAGAGAGACGAGAGAGCGATACTGAGAGAGAAGTTAGATGTCTAGAGAAATACGGTGAGAGAGGAAAGAGAGAAGAGGGGAACAGGGGGAGGTTGTTAAGTTGATCAGTCTCCTGTGTCCGTGTGTGACTACATAAGCTGTGCTGTTTCAGTCAACTGAGACAGACGTGTGTGTGTGCGTGTGTGTTTGTGAGTGCGTGCAAACTGTGTTGTTTCAGTCAACTGAGACTGATAATCTGCCTGTTAAACCTGTACTCTCAGATACATTAGGCTGTGTGTGTGGCCAGGGTATGGAAGGACTGCACTGCTTTCTTTCCAACATCCCCAGTCTCTTTGTCTTCTCTGGGCCTAGGCAGAGCTCACTTGTCCTGTACTATAGCTTGTATACAGTAATCTTCATTTGGTAACATCCTGTTCAATAAGTGGCCATATGTATATACTCCCATCATAGCATGTTGTGAGGACAATGACCCACTAGCATTAGTGAAACGTAGGTTAGCGTTTTTCATCATGCATCTTGTTCTGGAGGCAGCTCTGCAGAGTGGTCACTAACTGGCACAGCCACAATGTCTGATTTTAAACCTAACCCTAACCTTAACCACACTGCTAACAATAATGCCCAACCCTAACGTTAACTTAAGACCAAAAAGCACATTTTTGTTTTCATGAATTTTTACAATATAGCCAATTTTGACTTAGCAGCCGGCCTATTTAAGGGGAAATTGCTAAATTCTGCCTCCAGGACATGACTCATGAAAATAAACATCAACCTGCCAGTGAAACAACCAGCCACTGTGTTACAGTAACTCTATTCAACCTATACAGACCTACAGTACTGTAACAGTGTTCTCTTCAGATGTGAAGTTGTCACCTCAGCCATAAGAAGCCCCTCTCCACTTTAACTGTTTAATCCCCCCAAAAACCATCATCATCACGCTACACTGGAGTGTCTGATAACTCATTAGGGACACATTCAACTGGAGAGGGAGAGAGAGTCGGGGAGACAAGGAGGGGACGGAGGCAAGTTCAGTGTGGTCCCTTGAAATGTCTAGTTGAAATGAGTGTGTGTGTGTGTGTTGGCGGCTGGTGGATCAAACAGGGAGTTAATGGTGTCGCTCTGTGCCCACGAACAGACGCACACACACAGACAGATACACACGCACGCTCGCACACACATACCGAGAATAATCGGATTCCCAGCTTAACTATCTGTGGTGTTTCTGTGTGTGTAGGTTCATGCATGTGTGTGTGCTGTGGTAATGGGGTTGGTGTGTAGTGTTTAAACTGCGAGAGCAGGCCAGTCTGAATATAATACAGTGAGCTGGTAATTAAACTACACACAAGGCTTTTTAAACAGAGATGGTGGAGTTAAATAACCACTGTAGTCTAAAGTGGGGTGAAGATAATCCCATGTTATACTGTGATAATGTTCTGTTGTGGAAGGAATGTGTTCTGATGCTTTAGAGGCTATAGTGCTGCTGTTGTACTGTCAGTTGGCCCAAATGGTTCAGGTGTGAGCTACACACACCCGCACACACACACCCGCACACACACAGGTGGTGGATCAATTATTCACACACACTGTAAAGCCCTTTTTTAAGTGGTGAAAAGCAGCATATAACTGCTATCCATAAGGACAAAGGTTGCATCTGTGTTTGTGCATGTGTGTGTATGTACTTACATGGTCTCCATGGTGCGGTTCCTCCATTCCTCAGAGCGTAGCTGGTCCTGGGCCTGCTCCAGGTCAGTGATGGAGGTCTGGACTCTCAGAGAAGGCTCGAGACCACGCTGTCTCTGAGCCCACACCTCCGCTGGCTCACGGAACGGACCCTAACACACAGGAGAAAGATGGGGAAACCATTATACACACACTAGCGGGCATGACCCACACATTCCCAACATTGAAAACATTTTCCATTGTTCAAACATGCTGTAATGTAAGTCAGAAGCCCTACAGTGATCTTTTCGGTTTTCATCTGTCAGATATCATGTTTTAATCAGAGACACTTTCTCTCTAGTCTCTCTCTCAGCTCTCTCTCCTTTTCTCTCCATCTTTCTCCATCTCTCTGTCTCTCTCTTTTCCTCTTTCTCTCTCTCCAACTCTTTCTATCATTTTCTCTCTCTCTTCTCTCTATCTCTCCTCCCCACAGGTAGTCATGGCTTAGCAGTAAATCCACAGCCAATTTAGTCTAATTCCTTCATCTAATTTAGTAACTTTCCTTAGTCTTGGCCTATTTCAGTAACTTTCCTTAGTTACTAAAGTTTAGTAACTTTCCTTTGTTTAGTAACTTTCCTTAGTCTACAGTACGTTTCCTTATTTTAGTAACTTTCCTTAGTCTACAGTACCTTTCCTTAGTTTAGTAACTTTCCTTAGTCTACAGTAACTTTCCTTAGTTTAGTAACTTTCCTTAGTCTACAGTAACTTTCCTTAGTTTAGTAACTTTCCTTAGTCTACAGTAACTTTCCTTAGTTTAGTAACTTTCCTTAGTTTAGTAACTTTCCTTAGTTTAGTAACTTTCCTTAGTCTACAGTAACTTTCCTTAGTTTAGTAACTTTCCTTAGTCTACAGTAACTTTCCTTAGTTTAGTAACTTTCCTTAGTCTACAGTACCCTTCCTTATTTTAGTAACTTTCCTTAGTCTACAGTAACTTTCCTTAGTCTACAGAAACTTTCCTTAGTTTAGTAACTTTCCTTAGTCTACAGTAACTTTCCTTAGTTTAGTAACTTTCCTTAGTCTACAGTAACTTTTCTTAATTTAGTTTAGTAACTTTCCTTAGTCTAGTTAAGTAACTTTCCTTCGTGTAGTTTAGTAGCTTTCTTTAGTCTAGTTAAGTAACTTTCCTTCATGTAGTTAAGTTTCTTTAGTTTGGTTAAGTAACTTTCCTTAGTCTACTTTAGTAACTTTCCATAGTCTAGTTTAGTAACTTCCTCTTGTCTCCACTAACTTCCCGTAGTCCTTTAACTTTCCTTAGTCCTGTAACTTCTCTCAATGTGGTTGTGTTGTTGAGTAGCTGTTGTTTAGTGGAGTGACCTTCAGCTGTTGTTGCTGTTGGTTGGTTGGGGAGAGTAGCTAGCAGGGAGCCCCTGTCCTTGGTCCTATCACCACAGGATCAGCACCCTGGCCTGACCAGACCCAAACACTTCCCAAACAACCACCTCCACCTATCCATCACCACTGATGTTATCACACGGGGGACAGGCCAGGACTCACACTACTAGAGAATACGCAGACCAACAACACTGGGAAACACAGGGAGGGAGGGAAAGAGGGAGATGGAGGGAGAGAAGTAAAGAGGAAAGGGTGGCAATAAGATAAAGGGAGAGACTGGGAACGATAAAGGGAAGGAGAGAAAAAGGGAGCGAGACAGAGAGGTTGGTAGAGGGAGAGGAGGAGGTAATAGAAAGAGGGTGAGGGGGAGGAGAGAGAAAGAGGGAGAGATAGAGAGGGATGAGGCGGAGGGAGGAGAGGAAATGGGGGTGAACCCTGTCCTTAGCGAGGGTAAAACACAGATAAATAATGTAGGCTCATCTCATCCATGGAGCAGTGTTAGACATCCCAGCCTTCTATAATGAATTCCCGTTAGCAAGAGCCAGATGGAGCCGGAGCTGGGTGTGCATAAGTGTTTGCGTGTGTCTCTATGTGTGTGTGTGTGTGTGTGTGTGTGTGTGTTTGTGTGTGTGTGTGTGTGTGTATGTGTGTGTGTGTGTGTGTGTGTGTGCACCATCTCAGTGCCCGGGGTGAGGGACTCTGGGCTAATAAAAAGAGATGATCCACGCCTCATTTCTGCTCACTTATGTTTTACATTAATAGAAACCAATAATAGGAACCAGTTACCATAAAAGCCTTGGACCGTAAATAACACAAATGGCAAACGCTTCTCATCAAATCCTTCTCACAGCTGGACGAGATGACACGCCGGAATCCAGAGGTACTTAAAGAATTCTTCATCAAGGCTGTTTTAAATGGCGGAGTATTCCCTGGCGGAGGCCTGGTTTGATGGGCTCACTTTAATAGCGGCAGCTTGGGCTGACAGGACCTGCTGATCTGCCTGGATCGGAGGGTCTAAACGTCTTCCAGTGGCCCCGCGAGAGACACGCCGCCATGTTTTAATGATATCATTCTTTTTTAAGGGGAGTTTAAAGAATCATCTCACGGCACCACGCGGACCCTTTCATCATCCTCACCAGGGGGAGAGCTCCTCTGATAATTGCTATGACACTTTGTTATCCCCATCTCTGGAGCCTGATTGTTTCCTCTAAGAGGCCTGAGACTTTACTGATATACTGCTATACTGGTAGTAATAATGTTACTAAGTTACTAGTAAGACTTCTATACTAATAATGTTACTACTTCTATAATAATACTGTTACTACTTCTATACTAATAATGTTACTACTTCTATACTAATAATGTTACTACTTCTATACTAATACTGTTCCTACTTCTGTACTAATTTTGTCATAAGGCAAATGATCGCAAAGATCATACAATAGGTCGTTTTTGGGATCTCCCAAAAGCATTTGATACAGTTTATTTATTTATTTTTATTTAACCTTTATTTAACTAGGCAAGTCAGTTTAGAACAAATTCTTATTTACAATGACGGCCTACCGTCATTGATCATAATATTTGAAACTTGAAACTATGGGTGTGACTTCTTTGGTTCTCCAGCTATCTAAAGGATAGAAAGCAATATGTGACTTTCAAAGGAATAGATTCCCTCCTCTGGAGATTAAGTGTGGTGTGCCGCAGGGATCAATTCTTGGACCACTATTATTTCTGATTTATATAAATGATTTGCCCAATGCATCCAAAGCGCTCTCCCAGATATTATTTGCTGATGATACAAATGTGTTTTACTCTCACAAAGATTTCAATTATCTTATTAATGTTGTTATTGATGAACTATGTAATATCTCAAAGTGGATTAAAATTAACAAATTGTCACTGAATCAAAAAAAATAAACGAATGTTGTATTATTTGGTCCAAAGAAAATAAAATACAAAACAGATTATATAGGGGTCCATATTGATAATATACCTGTTGATCATGCCTGTACAACCCACTTTTTTGATGTTCTGATTGATGATGAATTGTCATGGAAACCACACATAAAGACAATAACCTCTAAGATCGCCAAAAATACGGGGATACTTGGCAAGATTAGTCTCTATTACACAATGATCTTCCCATTCATCAGTTACTATATGGGCCAGCACACACCATACCAAACTACTATCAATCTATCGCCTGCAGAAATGTTCTGTAAGAATAATATCATCTGCCGGTATTAGAGCACATTCAGCACCATTTATCAAAAAATGTGGACTCCTGAATATTTATCAAATTCATTATTTTCAAGTTGCTCAATTTGTTTACGCCACTTTAAATCACTTATTAATCTCTTCAAAAACGATTTTATAGCCACATATGAATTCCATAACTACTCAACAAGAAACAGACAACAGCTACGTCACCCATATTCAGGAACAAGCTATTCTCAATTTGGAATTACCTATAGAGACCCTATGATCTGAAACTCATTCCCGCCTGATTTTGCCAAGTTATCCCTGTCGTTGCTTAAACATTTATTAAGAGGAACCTACTGTCCATCACAGTTCTACACCCCCAGTAACTTGACTTTCTGTTTAGATTTTCTATTCCTTTATCTCTTTTGTGTCTAGTTTTTATTTTATTGTTTGTTTGTTTGTCCACAATGCGGAATCTGTGTGACTTAAGCCCTTTTTGGCTTTTTTCCCCTCTTGCACATACTGTTGTTGTTTTTTTACTGTTACAAACTGTCTTTCTGTTTGTGCAAACAAACTAAACAAAAAACTAAACTAGAAAGACTGCTATACTGGTACCACGTTTCTAATAAGACTGCTATACTGGTACTAAGTTACTAATAAGACTGCTATACTGGTACTAAGTTACTAATAAGACTGCTATACTGGTACTAAGTTACTAATAAAATTGCTATGCTGGTACTAATACTGTTACTAATATGACTGCTATAACGGTACTATTACTGTTACTAGTAAGACTGCTATACTGATACTAAGTTACTAATAAGACTGCTCTACTGATACTAAGTTACTAATAAGACTGCTCTACTGATACTAAGTTACTAATAAGACTGCAATCCTGATACTAAATTACAAATAATATTGCTATAATGGTACTAATACAGTTAATAATAAGACTGCTATACTGGTACTAATACTGTTACTAATAAGACTGCTATAACGGTACTAATAATGTTACTAGTAAGACTGCTATACTGATAACAATAATGTTACTAATAAGATTGCTATACTGGTACTAATACTGTTACTAATAAGACTGCTATTATGGTATTAATACTGTTACTAATAAGACTGTTATAATGGTACTAATACTATAACTAGTAAGACTGCTATATTGGTACTAAGTTAATAATACGATTGCTATACTGGTACTAAGTTACTAATAAGACTGCTATACTGGTACTAAGTTACTAATAAGACTGCTATACTGGTACTAAGTTACTAATAAGACTGCTATACTGGTACCACGTTTCTAATAAGACTGCTATACTGGTGCTAAGTTACTAATAAGACTGCTATACTGGTACCAAGTTTCTAATAAGACTGCTATACTGGTACTAAGTTACTAATAAGACTGCTATACTGGTACTAAGTTACTAATAAGACTGCTATACTGGTACTAAGTTACTAATAAAATTGCTATGCTGGTACTAATACTGTTACTAATATGACTGCTATAACTGTACTATTACTGTTACTAGTAAGACTGCTATACTGATACTAAGTTACTAATAAGACTGCTCTACTGATACTAAGTTACTAATAAGACTGCTCTACTGATACTAAGTTACTAATAAGACTGCAATCCTGATACTAAATTACAAATAATATTGCTATAATGGTACTAATACAGTTAATAATAAGACTGCTATACTGGTACTAATACTGTTACTAATAAGACTGCTATAACGGTACTAATAATGTTACTAGTAAGACTGCTACACTGATAACAAGTTACTAATAAGATTGCTATACTGGTACTAATACTGTTACTAATAAGACTGCTATTATGGTATTAATACTGTTACTAATAAGACTGTTATAATGGTACTAATAATGTTACTAGTAAGACTGCTATACTGATAACAAGTTACTAATAAGATTGCTATACTGGTACTAATACTGTTACTAATAAGACTGCTATTATGGTATTAATACTGTTACTAATAAGACTGCTATAACGGTACTAATAATGTTACTAGTAAGACTGCTATACTGATAACAAGTTACTAATAAGATTGCTATACTGGTACTAATACTGTTACTAATAAGACTGCTATTATGGTATTAATACTGTTACTAATAAGACTGTTATAATGGTACTAATACTATAACTAGTAAGACTGCTATATTGGTACTAAGTTAATAATACGATTGCTATACTGGTACTAAGTTACTAATAAGACTGCTATACTGGTACTAAGTTACTAATAAGACTGCTATATGGTTACTAATAAGAACGGCTATACTGGTCCATTAACTAATAGACTGCTATACTGGTACCACGTTTCTAATAAGGACTGCTATACTGGTACTAAGTTACTAATAAGGACTGCTATACTGGTACCACGTTTCTAATAAGACTGCTATACTGGTACTAAGTTACTAATAAGACTGCTATACTGGTACTAAGTTACTAATAAGACTGCTATACTGGTACTAAGTTACTAATACGATTGCTATACTGGTACTAATACTGTTACTAATAAGACTGATATACTTGTACTAATAAGACTGCTATAATGGTACTAATACTGTAACTAGTAAGACTGCTATACTGGTACTAATACTGTTACTAATAAGACTGATATACTTGTACTAATAAGACTGCTATAATGGTACTAATACTGTAACTAGTAAGACTGCTATACTGGTACTAATACTGTTACCAATACGACTGCTCTACTAATACTAAGTTACTAATAAGACTGCTATACTGGTACTAAGTTACTAATAAGACTGCTATACTGGTACTAAGTTACTAATAAGACTGCTATAATGGTACTAATACTGTTACTAATAAGACTGATATACTGGTACTAATAAGACTGCTATAATGGTACTAATAATGTAACTAGTAAGACTGCTATACTGGTACAAAGTTACTAATAAGACTGCTCTACTGGAACTAATAATGTTACTAATAAGACTGCTCTACCGGTACTAAGTTACTAATAAGATTGCTATCCTGATACTAAATTACAAATAATACTGCTATAATGGTACTAATACTGTTACTAGTAAGACTGCTATATTGGTACTAATGCTGTTACTAAGTTACTAATAAGACTGCAAACCAGGGTTTGGTTCAATTCCATTTCAATTCTAGTCAATTCAGAAAGTAAACCCAATTTTAATTCCAATTCGGAATGTTCCTCATTGAAAGGCATTAATGAAAATTGGAACTGGAATTGAAATATAATTGACCAGAACCCTGCAGCATACTAGTCTGGTACTAAGTTACAAATAAGACTGCTATACTGGTACTAATACTGTTACTAATACAACTACTATATTGGTCCTAGCCTAATACGACAGTTTTGCTGGTTACTGCTATACTGTTACTATAATGCTGCTAATAAGACCACTATACTGGTACTTGACTGCTATACTGTTACTAATAACACTGCTAGACTGGGAATATAATGCAATGATATTTCTCTTTCCTTTCATTGCTGAGTATGTCTCACCTGTGGTTTCTTGCTGGGAATGGGAGGCAGGGGCTTAGCTCCAAAGGCTCTAGGGACTCCTGAAAGGGAGGGGGCTGAGGGGCTGGTATTACCCAGGAGAGAGGCTCTGTCCCTGGGAAAGGTTCTGGGTGGCAGGGGCTTGGTCCTCCGGAGCCTCAGCTCCATCTCATCTGGCTCAGGTCTGAATGGAGAGTTGAATACTCCAGGGCACTGCAGAGGAAGAACACAGGATAGAGTGAAGGGAAAGACAGGGAACATACAGTATCTTATAACCAACAAATTATCTACAACTATGTGAGAATAAACAGGAACTTAAAAAACAACAACATTTTTAACACTTTGCCATGCACCAACACTGGACATGTGAGGAAAAGAGAGAATGATCAAGTGATTAGATGTTTCGTAACAAATGACTGTTTGCTAGTGTGTTAGTGCTGAGCAGGAACAAAAGCCTGCACACACAGTGTCCCTCCAGGATTAGAGTTGGCCACTCCTGCTATAACTCCAACACAGGGCCAATGTAAGTTCACACAGACTAAGAACGTATTGTCCAAGCCCTAGCCTCAGACTCACATCCCTTCAAATAGAGAGATTGGTCACAGACAGACAGACAGGCAGAGAAATAATAATTATTCACATCAGACTGATCCACTGCTCTGCTTTAATTAGGAGACCAAAGCTTTGAGGAGCTCTGCTAGCTAGCTACTATATATGCTAATAACTCCCTTTTTTAGGCCAGACCTTTTTTAGTGGGACTGACTTGGTGGTACTACTGTTGCCTGGCCACTGAAGAGGGACGGGGCGGGGTGGAGTGTGTGTGTGTGTGTGTGTGTGCCTGCGTGCATGTTGCTGCTAGTTCCTGGCCACTGTGGGTAGAGGGACTTGTAGGGTGGTGTAGCATCGTAGCGGGGGGTAACACACTGTGAACCCACCCCGACTGGCCACTGCGCTGCGCTGGGGAAGAGCAATGATGTTGACCCCCTGAACAGGGGAAGTAAATCTATGTCAGAGCGGCCACTTGTGTCCAGCGGAGTAGCTGGCGTTAAGGATGAACTGTGGGAGACCCATCCATTTCCTGGTGACAAGGTCAGACGGTGGAGAGGGAAGGAGTCCCGCGCCATATGCACAGCCCACTGCCACCCAGAGACACTTAACTAACTCTCTTTTTTCACTCTCTTTTTCTTATAGCTATTTCCTTCTACTCTCTCTCCCACCATATCCACAGCGCAGTGCCGCAGAGAGACATTTGGCTAACTCTCTTCATTTTTATACCCTTCCACTGTTTTTTTTTACCTCTCTTCCACTCTCTTTCCTTCTCCTCCTCTTTCCCGACATAAGCACAGCCCAGCGCCATGGAGTTCACTCTCTCTTTCACGCTCTCTCACAATCACCCTCTTTTCTGCCCCCTCTTTAACAGCTTCGGTCAAATTTCACAAGTTCCGGTCCTTTTCAAACCCAATGATTCCCGGGCAACGTTTGTCATGACGCTCATGTGAACATTCCTTTACCGGAGTGGGGGTGTTTATGGAAGCAGGACAGAAAGGTGTACAGGCGGACGGACACAGACATCAGAATCTGCAGGAAAGATGATGATGACGAACAGACTATACAGGCACCAAGGAAACGACTGCTTGGTGGAGACACACCCACCCACTCACACACACTGACCAGCAACACACTACTTCATCTTTATTATGAGCACACAGGGGTGCCAGGAGAGAGAGCACCCGTGTAAACCTCCCACTCAGCAGATACCTACAGCCACCTACAGCCCTGTGTTTTACACACACATACACACACACGGGCGCTACCGGACATACCCCCTAAATCACACATCCCCTTTTCAATTACTGCCAACGCCACCCCAGCTAAAAGGAACATGAAGGCTTGTCAGTGGCTGTACGCATGGCTCTCTGAATCCAGTCTGTGTGTATGTGTGTGTACCTGCTTTGTGCTGAGTAGGAAGTGCATCCTCTGGGCCTGGACAGTCTTCTCCTGCTCCTCTCTCTCCATGGCCAGACACTCTCTCTCTCTCTTCTGGAACTCTGAAAACTCCTCTAGATCCCTCCTACACAACACAACACACACAGAGGGAAAACATTGTTTGCAGTTTGTTTAGTGACCATTTACCCGCTTGAGTGTGTTTTGTGTGTGTGCGTGTGTGCGGGTGTGTGTGAGGGAGAAAGACTGAGTACACAGTGATCAGGGATCAGGTAGTTTCTTGCTACAAGTGAATCCCTGAGCTCTCCTCTAGCAGGAAACAGAGGCTTAATGACTCCAATCAGGGCTGAGAGAGAGAGGGAGAGGAGAGCGAGATGGAGAGAGAGAGAGAGAGAGAGAGAGAGAGAGAGAGATGAGGAGAAGAGACGAGAGAGGAGAGATAGGAAGGAGAGAGCGAGGGGAGAGAGAGAGAGAGAGAGAGAGAGAGAGAGTGAGAGAGCGAGAGAGAGAGAGAGAGAGAGAGAGAGAGAGAGAGAGAGAGGGAGTGTGAAGCCGTCAGTGTGCCAGGCCGTGGGATGATGAATATATTCCATCAGTATAGCCAAGGCTCTCCATGACATCTGCTATCCGAGCTGTCTAAATGGGACACATTAAAAGCCCATACGCAATCTCATTTTACAATCACACATTGTTACTGTGTGGGGTAATAACTTAAGGGGAATCGGAAACAATTACTAAAACATACACACACAGGCGCACACACTCAAATGAACGCGCACGCAAACACAAGGGCACAGTCAAACAGGCACACACACAAAACAGACACGAAAATGCGCGCCCACACACACACACAAACGCACACACACAAAGACATTAGACTAAAAGAAAAGCCAATCCAATTCATCAGAAAGCAAAAGCAATAAAAAGGTAACCATTGCTCATCAGGCTTTCGTTCCCAAGCTGCTCTCAGTTTTCAATTATGTGCTCACAAAGGAGAATATTCATACCCGTCCTAATGTAAGGTTACACACACCGCCGTATTGACATTTAAAAATCACCACCCTTTCCCTTTGCATCGCAGCATTTTCATTCCTCCCTCCACACAAGATTAAATTACAAAATAAATGAAATATGCAGAGTAGCGTGGCCCCCATTTGGCCACCTGGTGAAGGGGAAATTGCTTATTAATGTGAAAATATTAAGTTGTGGGACAGTCTGTTTCAGTTTCTCTCTCCTCTCTTTTTCCGCCGTTTCCGGCCACCGGTGTGTGTGTGTGTATGCACATGTGTGCATCGCTGTATGCTGGTGGCTGTGTTGGCGACCTTTGCCTCCCTATATCCCAGGTTTATTATTAATTGCGGTGTAGTGGACAAAAGCCAAACAGATTTGTAACGGCTGAAGGGACCTCGATCTGTGTCACGGCTGAGCAGGAGAACATACAACCCTCATTACTTCTGATGGGCATGGGGGGTGAGGGGGTTGGGAGGAGCATGGGAGCGCCCCAACACGCGTGACCTTTCCGTGTCCTCAACACTCAACTCACACAGGAGAGAAGTTCAGTCAAAGCTGGACCGAAGTTAGGCAGAACACTTTTCTAGGGGTTAAGATCTCTTTTAGGAAGGTTGTCTAGTGCTCAAATTAAACTGTAGAAGCACAGTAATTATAGTTAGCAATTAAGGAAAGAAAATCAGTTATGAGAGAAATATTATGGTGGTCAGAGTGTTCAATACTGTATTTGTACTAGATGTTCTTGATATTTGTGATATATTCTTGCAGAAATGTACACTTACAAATCTGTCTTTTATGAGAATTTGTATTTGTCTGTTAGACATTGTTAATCTTTGTTTTAGAATGTCTGTTTGTTAACTGTTAATGAAACAGGGAGTATTTTCATTGTAAAATCATATAGGCCTATTCATACTTACATGTATATAAATTACAAAACATATAAACAAAAAACAGGTTATTAAATATAAAATATGAATATACATACAACTTATTTACAAAATACTGTAAACAACATTTAACCTGTTTAAAGGATCCAATAGGATCTCAAGGAAATACTATTTCAATTAAAACATTTCTAAATCAACAGTGTTGAGAGCTGTATCGGAACACAAATCGCCTTTTCATGTTGTACATGTGAACTATCAGATCCCAGCAGCTGTTCTGTAGTCCCTGTTGAAACCATAGCGATGATGACAAGGTATTACAGCATAAAGACATGCATACAGCTGCTTTATCTATATTTAATATCTTGGGGCATAGAGCTGGGTACAGGTAGAGTGGGGTGATGGGGAAATCACAGCCTGGTGCATTGTGGGGTAGCAGGCCGGCCCACCAGTCCTCCAGGCCAACACCGGAGCAGCTAATTGGCTCTCCTAAATATTTAATGACCGTACAAGCCGATTGGCTGTTTTAATGTTCCAATTCAATAATTCAATAGCTGGCAGGGAGGGAATATTCAGCAGTCCATTAAGTTCCAGTGTCTGACTCAGACTCAATATATTGACCTCTGACCTATGACCTCTGATAGAGCAGGCCTCAACCCTGACCAACCTGTAACCCTGCCACGGCAGAGGACACACAACATCATCACCATCAACAGGACAAGTTTCCTACAACTATATAGAACCACAAAACCAGAAAAAAATTGCAAAACAGAACTTAACCAGGTTTGTTTATTCAACTGCACTCCCTCCTGTAACAAGGCACCTCACAAAAAGAAACAGAGGATTTCCAGGGTGAGGTGTCAACTTCAACAAAAATACCAAACCCCCCCAAAAACTGAAAAAACACAAAAGTGATGACAACCAAAAGCAATATTTTTTCATCACTTTCCTTCCCGTAACGAGGTACTTCCTAAAGAGTCAGTGACTGAACTGGAAAACAACAGACTTTTCACACGGAGACAAAACCCTCCAATCAAAGCCAGCGTGTACGTGAACTCCTCTACACCCCTGGTGTAGCGTCAGGAAGCGTGTATGAGCTAACTGGAGGACAGGTCCTCCCAGATCTCCTTTCATGGATGTCCTTGAGCCGAGAGCCGGGACGCCACACAGAGAGTAAAAACCCCTCAGCCTCACCACTCTGAGTCCATAAATGTCCCTCAGCCCGCAATGAGTTAAAAGATTTTGCCACGTTAGAACATTACAGAGAGAATTTATCTGATTATGGCAGTAATAATTACCCAGCTGTTTATTGCAGATAGAATAATAATTCATGCAGGCAACAGGCCGTGGTGGCAATGACACTCCGCATTTAGTAAATATGCAAACGGCTCCCTCCTAATTGCCCAGGCTCGCAGGATGCCCTTATTAAGCAGCGCAACTTTAAGTGTCTTCCTGACAAGTGATAAATTGTTGTGTTGCACAAACTCTAGTCGCTTGAATTACAGTGGTGCCGAGAGGTCCTGACTTCATTAGGCTATGCAGGAGGGGACAGCTCCATGAAGATGGACACGCTAACATGGTGAACCCCGGCCAGGGGGAGAGAGGGAAGGAGGGAGAGAGAGAGAGAGAGAGCGTCGGGCGGTGCGGTTAATGAAATGACACAGATGGTTTTGTATGGGGAGATCCGTCAGTGCGGAGCAGAAAGAGAGAGTAAGAAAGAGAGATGGTCCTCCCGTCGGGCCGTCTCCCGTCATTGGCATGCCAGGCCAGTCGGCCTGCACTAAATGGGAGCCATTAGGAAAACTTTGAATAATTTATGCAGCGGACAGACAGAGGGGTGGAGGGATGGTGAGAGGGAGGGATGGTGGGAGGGAGCGGCGGATTAAAAAGTGGACCTTTGCGGGGTGAGTGATCGGGCAGTGTGCGATCCGAGGGGCCCTGGTGAACACAGAAAGGATATTTTAAATAAACGCGGCGCTGCGTTAATTGATCGCGACCCCAGAAGCACTAAATAAACAAGTGATTAACTGGCGAGAGGACGACCTCTCCATGGAGCGGAGCAGCGCTCCATGGAGGCTCAATGGCTGTGTGCGTGTGTCTCTGGGAATGATAGACAGGAAAACATTGAGATGACAACATCCTCCTGACTCTCACCAATATCTCCCACATCACCCACAACCCTCTCATCCACTCTCACCCACAGCCAGTTTATCACAACACACAGTCTGCCTCCCAACAACATATTTGGTCTATGAATCAGATATTATTTGGCCTATGAGTCCAGATAAATACTGGTAAATACCGAGGCTGAATATAGAGGAACAGGCCGAATTGAAATCACTGCATATTTGGCCATTTTGTGTGCCCTATTCCTTAAACTGGGAAGCAGGCTTCCAGGTTAAATGTCACAACTGTCATCTACCTAGTGTTTGTGTTACCCTCTCAACACCACAGAACCACATCATTTGATTTGATTTGAGGTGTTGTGTGGGTTCTCGTGACAGAATCATACAGAGACGTTATGAAAATGCAAATGTAACCAGGTTCTATGATACCCATCATGTCCCTGGCTATCCCGCTGCACACATCCAGTATAGCCTAGTCCTGTATGTCTGCTGTAGCTGTGCAGGGGTCTGTGGAGACACAACTCAGAGGTGACAAACCTCATTACTTCTCACCAGGCCTGCCTACCTCTGGAGGGAGGGGGGGAGGGGGGAGTCAGTGATCCGACGAGCACTTAACAAATTTACATTTAATTTTAGCTGAAGCCTTAAGATATTTTTACCCCCCACGAAAATATATTAGCGACATAAAAAATGTGACTTAAACTTAAACTTTTTCATTTTTTTTTATTGTCAGAAATAAACGATGGCATCATTTTCGGCCCCAGGAGCCTAGCATGTTTTATTAATGCCAGAGCGCTCCCTGAAATCACAGGCACATTATTTTTTTTGTTACATCGTTCGCTGGCCACCCAAGGCACTTATGAATACTTTTTTTTCCTTCAGGTTACCGGTACACATGTATAGCGATCATACTCTCTGCCTCTAGATTAATCAGATCAATTCATCTCTGCCCAGAGTGAATTCCTGTTAAGCATAAAGTCTGCCCCATGTTAACTAATAGGAGTCTCTTGGTGCCACGATTTACATTAGCATAACACCCAGACCTTCTCTGACTTTCTTTCTACACAGCAAAACTGGCCAAGAGGAAGAGTGATGTAGTACTCTGTAAAGAAAAGCACACTTCCATCCAATACCCTACAACTTATCCTCCAAATAAAAATACAAATTGGAATAATGAATACATAATTGGGTATGTACTGAATTGATTCAAAAAGGGATAGAGAATTCACCAGTGAAATGTGTACAGTACATAGCTAGATATTGACTATTTATCCCAGTTAATATATTTGGTATGTTACCTACTATATATAGATGGCTTCTATCAGTCCTCTTGATGTACCTGATCTGTTTGTTTTTGCGGGCAAGTGCCTCCATGTATCTCTTGCGTGCGTAGTAGTTATGGCTGTATTTCCTCACATAGTAACCTCTCCATCTCTGCTGTATCTGTAGGAGAAAAACACACCAACACAGATCTATAGTTAACATAATAATCCACCAGTTAGATGAGATGGGACCAAAAGGAACATTTTAGTGTAAACATCACTACGACGGTTGTTCTTCAGAAAAGCTATTTTTTGGTATAATAACTTTATGCAAACTGGACTGGCAACACTTGCTTTAGAGGTCCCTTGCATTTATGTCAGTTTGACTTGACACACACACACACACGTATGCATGCACGGACGCAGGCACACACACACACACGCACATACACAAACACACACGAGTGCGCCCCAAGCTGGGCCAGGTCTCTAAACAGAGGGGAGCGGATGTCCTTCACTCTAATTAGAAGATGAAACAATAGCAGGTAAAATAATTATCAGAAGAGGGGCGGCAGAAAAAAAAAGAAAGAGACCAAAATGAGAATTGCGATTGATCTGCAGTCAATAGATAATTTTAAATAAAGTAATTGCTGGCTCGCAACTCAAAGTTCTTGTTGACCTTTTTTGACTAGTGAAATCAATGATGCATATTGGCCGGTTAAATCTAATAAAACTCCCGGGCCTCTTGTAAACACTGTTTTCTATTAACGTGCTAATACATTAGCCTTTGTTAGAGAGACTATGATAAAGACATGCGAGGAAGGGAACCAAAAAAGAACAGAATAAAAATGGATTGAAAAGGAAGTGCCACGAGGGGATTCAGAGATGATTGTTTATTTTTTTATTTTTTGGGGTCAATGAGAGGCGGTGGGTGGAGATGTCCTTCACACACTCACGCATGCACACACACACACACACACGCACACACACACACAGTGAGAGACTGAGTTTATCACACACAACATACTCTGCGTTGGTCCAGAGTTTATTACACCTGTGTATGCAGCTTTTTTACTGGGCCTTTTTAAAAATAGCGCCTACACTATAGCACACCTAAACCAGTAGGTTGGACACACTACCCATAAAAATGTCACTACATTTTCAATTTAGATTATTCTAAAACAGCATCTCAATAAACATGATTTTACTACATGTTGATGTAACTGTCCCTTGTTTCTTCTATATAACTCTCAACAGTTGGTGGCTGGTGATTCACTGTATTGATTTGACCAGGTTTAAACCCAACTTCACAGTGATATAAGAAGGTAGAGAAATATAAATCTCAACTATGAGAGTCGCTGATATGGCCAGCAGTGTACAGCACATGTACAGTTTAAACACTCTAGATTCACTATCATGGAGTTAATTGAATGGTTTTGTAGAAAGCACTCGGACAGCTCTCATAAATGCTCCCACTTACAAATACAATCATGTAGTTACGTAAAACATTTTTTTGAAAGAAATGAATATAAACAAAACCCAAACATTAGCACAAGGCCATATTTGTTTCATTTGAGGATAACATTTTGTATAATTTGAATGAAATGCTTGGGCCTTTCATGACCCCCCAGCATTTTATAATTACAATTTTTACAATAATATCCCCTTCCTTCCTTTTTTAAATTTAAAATGTTATCAGATTTTGACATCCATTCAGATTCCTGAACATATGACAGTGTTTTACAGGAGTAATAAAGCAGGTCTATCCTGCTGTGAAGCTTCTGTTCTCCTCTAAGCGCTGACATGACCTTTAACCTTTGGCCCCGTGACCTCAGGCACTTGGTCAGACTCAGACGGCTGCACGTAACATGAGCCTAACTAAAACACTGGGCCTGGACTTTTTTATTTGTTTGGATTACTGTCTGTCATAAAACTTTTCCTCAATTTCAGGGGTTTCAGCAAATGTCCAAACAACTCACTGGTAATATGCCCTTCTTCAATAAAGGCTGGAATTTTGTGTGCTTATAAAAAATCTTTAACAATTTAACTTGGGGTGGAAAAGAGTGGCTATATGGAATTGTAAAATATAAGGTTTCGATGCAATATCCTCGCATAAAAGTGCCAAAGCATCACTCAAATGCAAAGGCTTTTGATTTATAGGTAGTGTGGTAGGAGTTGTTAAACTGGTCAAATGGGACTTATGACGATATGGGCCGTGACAGTGAGATCTGCTCTAGCGGAAAAGCCAGCAGAAAAGTTTTTAAATCAGATATTTGTCACAGCTTAGCTTAAAATGCTAATAATAAGGCTAAACATGCTAACTTCTCTCCTGACTGGTTTAGCATAACTGAGTACAATTATTCCATTTAGTTTCAACATAAATGCCTGTGTAAAAGGGTATAATATAATTTCAGGGATTTTTCTGCCATTGAAATCCTTGGGCCTAAGTGTTTTTTCGGGTCGCCCAAGTCCGTGTTAACAGTGTTAATACATTTTCGGGACTGAAAAACGCTTTCAATGTTAACTGAAACAACTAAAACCAGATATAAAGTATGTAGAAAAGATCATGGCCCTACAGTGGGGGAAAAAATTATTTAGTCAGCCACCAATTGTGCAAGTTCTCCCACTTAAAAAGATGAGAGAGGCCTGTAATTTTCATCATAGGTACACGTCAACTATGACAGACAAAATTAGAAAAAAAAATCCTGAAAATCACATTGTAGGATTTTTTATGAATTTATTTGCAAATTATGGTGGAAAATAAGTATTTGGTCAATAACAGAAGTTTCTCAATACTTTGTTATATACCCTTTGTTGGCAATGACACAGGTCAAACGTTTTCTGTAAGTCTTCACAAGGTTTTCACACACTGTTGCTGGTATTGTGGCCCATTCCGCCATGCAGATCTCCTCTAGAGCAGTGATGTTTTGGGGCTGTCGCTGGGCAACACAGACTTTCAACTCCCTCCAAAGTTTTTCTATGGGGTTGAGATCTGGAGACTGGCTAGGCCACTCCAGGACCTTGAAATGCTTCTTACGAAGCCACTCCTTCGTTGCCCGGGCGGTGTGTTTGGGATCATTGTCATGCTGAAAGACCCAGCCACGTTTCATCTTCAATGCCCTTGCTGATGGAAGGAGGTTTTCACTCAAAATCTCACGATACATGGCCCCATTCATTCTTTCCTTTACACGGATCAGTCGTCCTGGTCCCTTTGCAGAAAAACAGCCCCAAAGCATGATGTTTCCACCCCCATGCTTCACAGTAGGTATGGTGTTCTTTGGATGCAACTCAGCATTCTTTGTCCTCCAAACACGACGAGTTGAGTTTTTACCAAAAAGTTATATTTTGGTTTCATCTGACCATATGACATTCTCCCAATCCTCTTCTGGATCATCCAAATGCACTCTAGCAAACTTCAGATGGGCCTGGACATGTACTGGCTTAAGCAGGGGGACACGTCTAGCACTGCAGGATTTGAGTCCCTGGCGGCGTAGTGTGTTACTGATGGTAGGCTTTGTTACTTTGGTCCCAGCTCTCTGCAGGTCATTCACTAGGTCCCCCCGTGTGGTTCTGGGATTTTTGCTCACCGTTCTTGTGATCATTTTGACCCCACTGGGTGAGATCTTGCAGATCGAGGGAGATTATCAGTGGTCTTGTATGTCTTCCATTTCCTAATAATTGCTCCCACAGTTGATTTCTTCAAACCAAGCTGCTTACCTATTGCAGATTCAGTCTTCCCAGCCTGGTGCAGGTCTACAATTTTGTTTCTGGTGTCCTTTGACAGCTCTTTGGTCTTGGCCATAGTGGAGTTTAGAGTGTGACTGTTTGAGGTTGTGGACAGGTGTCTTTTATACTGATAACAAGTTCAAACAGGTGCCATTAATACAGGTAACGAGTGGAGGACAGAGGAGCCACTTAAAGAAGAAGTTACAGGTCTGTGAGAGCCAGAAATCTTGCTTGTTTGTAGGTGACCAAATACTTATTTTCCACCATAATTTGCAAATAAATTCATAAAAAATCCTACAATGTGATTTTCTGGATTTTTTCTCTCTCAATTTGTCTGTCATAGTTGACGTGTACCTATGATGAAAATTACAGGCCTCTCTCATCTTTTTAAGTGGGAGAACTTGCACAATTGGTGGCTGACTAAATACTTTTTTTCCCCACTGTATATGTTTTTTAATAATATAATCTTTGATAACAAACAATCACCAAAATAAAAGCTAGACAGTCAGGGACAATTGAAAATTCCAAAAACAAAGAATTTAGCGGTATATATTTTGTTATTATGTTTGAGCAAAATAACAAAGAATTGCTGGAAGTTTGTTTTAAAACCGCAACATTTTCTCTCAGCTGCATGGCAAAATGTGTAGAATTGCAGGAAGTTTGCTTTAAAACTGCAAACATTTATCTCAGCTTAAAGGTACTCAGCGAAATGACATTGCCACGAGCAGCACCGCAGATATTGAAATGAGCGCGATGCCATACAAATGACCAAAACTAGACTAAATGTAATAAGAATTTTGACCATTCAATTCAAAATAATACTGATAACATTCCATAAAAATTAATTCCTGTATGGTATATAGGTAGAATTATCCAGGATATGTAGTATTCTACTGTGCCCCCCACATAGGGACAGAGACACTGGTGGTGAAATTAAACAGCACTGCAGTACTATTTGTGGGGATCACATTGGGAGACCAGGGGACTCTCCATTTGCTAAAACAGACAGTGTGATATTTACCCTGACGGACATCTCGTGGTAGAAATTCATCTTCATGATAAAATATGCGGCCTGTGAACAAAAGCAGAGACAGCGTTACATCTCCGTCGCCTTATCCCGGCTCTCTGATCTGTCCTGAGCAGCCCGGAGATAAAGAGATCTTTATACCTTATACATAATAAGTCCCATAGACACCACGGAGAGAGAGCGAGAGAGAGAGGGAGGGAGAGGGATGGAGGGAGGGAGAGAGTGTGTGTGCGTGCACATGCAAGCTTGTGTGTATGTGTAAGTGTGTGTGTGTGTGTGTCGAGGTGAAAGAGAGAGAGGTATAAGTCAGACTTTGTATTGAGGGGACGGGGCTCCTCTCTTAATACATAATGCAGACAAGGCCAAGAAAATCTATGGTAGTCAAGCTGAGAACTAATGGAGATGTATGATGGCCCAGCGCTCTCCGCTGGGTTTGATAATCAATGACGCTCCAGCCAGGATAGACTAACAAAGGCCAGAATATTCACACGGCTCGCCTCACACCTCGTCTCGCTGTGCTCAGACCACTGGGGGCACATTTACAGGAGCAAACTTGAGAGAACTATACAAGGAATTAATATCTCAAACATGTCTCTTTTTAATAATGACATAAGGTCCTGTGTAGCTCAGTTGGTAGAGCATGGCGCTTGCAACGCCAGGGTTGTGGGTTCGATTCCCACGGGGGGCCAGTATGAAAAAATGTATGCACTCACAAACTGTAAGTCGCTCTGGATAAGAGCGTCTGCTAAATGACTAAAATGTAATTAAGAAAGAGGGAACACTCTGGGAAAAAAGGGTGTTGGATTTTAGTCATATATAATAATGCAAGTTAAACACTGCAAAGTAAATATCTGTTGTCTGAACTCTGAAGTCATAAAATGTTGTTTTGGTAATTTTGAGAGATTCAAATGAGTCCTGTTTAATTTTTCAGAGATACTGTGTGTCTGGTGACATGTCCTTTACATAACATTAAATCAGGTTTTATCCCCAGATTCCAGCTCTTGAAAGCTTACCAAATGTGCCTGGCAGTTATGCTTTACCAAACAGTCAATTTAGGGGGTGATAAATAGCTGTTGTGATTCGTTTACAAAACTCAAACCAGAGAAAATTATTTGTGAGAGCAGTGGGGATTGGATTTTGTATCAACAATCTGTTCAATTAAGAAGCAGTTGGAGGCAATATGCAAAAATACAGCCTTGTTTTCCTAAACCCTTCCACCCTCCCTCCCTCTTTGCTCCTTTCCTCTCTCGTTTATGCATTCCAGAAGCGATAGAGCTGCAATTCCATACCATAACACTTCGTATTCCTAAGTGCTAATTTCCAAATGTGTAATAGGTCAATGATATGTCTTCAGGTCAGAGTTGCGGCTTCTGAATATAGCAATTGAATTGTAATGTATGCTATCATAACATAATCAATATATCCATAGTATTTCAGCGGCTAACGTACCTTCACCATTTGTCTGAAATGTGCCCTTGCTGTGAAGCCTCGCCATATCTTCTGAATAATGGTGGCCTTCCTGTGTAGGTGACTGGGAGAAATGGTCATGAGACATATGCTTTTACACAGAAAAAACATGAGGATAATCATTTATTGGCATAAACCAATATGGGATATGCTATGTACAGGATGTGGGCTAGTATTTGGACTAGTATTTGGAATCTGCAGAAAAAAGGAAAGGGAGAGAAATAAGTAAAAATATGTTTTTTGGTTGAGTTGTGACTAAGAAATAGTCCCCCCCCCCCCTGCACACAGGACAATGCACAGCAGCAACCTTTACTTAAGGCTTTTCAATTATGTCCAGCGATCATGGCTCCCGGAGCAAGCAGACATTTGTATTCATCATCAAACATACTCTAAATACAAGTCTACTGCGATTCCAGCCTCAACGAGGCCATCAATTTCCAAAAGGCCATTTATATGCCCAGAAAATCAATGCTTATAGGGGGAATATGGTAACCCGGGAGTTGCACTTAAGAAGCTCAAATTGTGGCTAATTAGCCACTTAACACATTGATCAATTAACTAAAGTAATCTGAATTAACCTGTAGTCTGGAAGTTTGTCTGCTGACCCTGCAAAATGGTGTTAGGGTCACAGTACAAAGCAGAGAGTGGGATAGGCCTTTATTTCCCTCAGACATTTGCACAGCTCTCTAATGCCAAAGAGGGGGTAATTTCATACTGTAAAGTGATGATTTAGGTTTGGGGGGGTAATGCAGCTGTAGGTCTATTTTTATTTGGGGTGAAGAAAAGGTGGTGTTTTGATAAAGGACACTACAAATTAGGTGTACGAATTCTTTGAAATTGCATACATGAAAATATTTATACTTTAGGGATGAAATTAGGAGTTTATGTGTTAAAATGACTGTTACATTGTAAAAGTTAATGTATGTACTAAGAACACCCTTTTGCAACAAATGACCAATTTAACACACACACATCTCTTACCCGAGGTAGGCCCGCACCTGACATCCCCTGAACCAACTCTGTATTTGGATGGCTGCTTCGTTCTCTCTCTGTCTGTTCTCCTCGGCTATCCTACAGACACACACCAACACAGCAAATGCAGAAATGTACGAGCATGCATGGTTCAAACAAGTCAGATGTTTGTTCATCATACTATAAAAGGCATCTGCTGATGTTGTTGTTAGCAAAACTGCCTTGCTAGCTAGCTACCGGTACAGTAGCTACTACGTTAGTTTCTTTCTCAATTTAAAACAGCTATGCCAGGGGCTGTTAGAAATAGTTCACCGTGTTACAAAGTGTAGGCTACAAGTTCAATGTGCATTCTGCAACAGCTGCATTAACGTTACCTGTTTCTTGTGAAATATTCTTCTTTAATTCGTTCAATCTCATTCTGTAACCTGACAAACCTAGCCATGCTCTCTGGACGAAGACACAATAGTTGACATGTTTCCTTGACAACGAGAGAGAGCCGTTTCCTTTTTCATTTGCGCGTCTCTTATTGGTAGGAAAGTTGTGGGCACCCTCTGTTTTTCTCTTCTCGTCAGAAGCCAACTTGTAAGGTAGTTTGGCCGTTGTTTTGCTGAATAAGAACAGGAAAAAACATTTGTGCATCAGTTAATTACTACAGAACGCTGTTGTGTGTGCATTGAGTTTGCTCAGTCTTGTAGCCTTAGCCTAGCAAATTGTATCAGATGGGGGAAATGCATTTATATGAAAATTATAGTTATCTATTATCTGAATATTGCAAGCATTGTGTTGGTTGGCTATGTTTTTAAAATAATGTGTTTTATCAATTATATTTATCACAATACAAATGTAGGTAAATTGATGGATTATTTATTGTATCTGACTTCAATTACTAACATAATACTATAACGTTATAATATAATACCTATATTTACCTGCTGTGAGAAAGTAACGTGTCTCACGGCAAAGGAAGGTGCTGGACAACATCTTTCAGATGAAGTCAGGTGTTTTATTTAGGCCCAGAGCAAGGTGATAGCAGTAGGCAGTTCAATTGACATTTTACAAAATGGGATCCAGAAAAATAAGATGCATAAGAACAGCAAAACACTCTTTAGTGAACTTCAGCTATTTGCTATTGAGCTGCCAGCCTCACAACAAGCATTTAGGCTAACATTGAAAATGGCAGACAGCAAGCAGGTACAAAGTCATACTTATTCTGTGGGCTCTACAGTCTGTCAGTGTTCTGACGGTTTTCAAACATCACCTTGAGCCGCTGAACATCTACCTCTGTGGAGAGCTCCTCTCCTTGGTCACATTCCCCTTCTCCCTCTCTCTCTCTCTCTCTCTCTCTCTCTCTCTCTCTCTCTCTCTCTCTCTCTCTCTCTCTTCTCTCTCTCTCTCTCTCTCTCCTCTCTCTCTCTCCCTCTCCTTCTCCTCTCCCTCCCTGCTCCCCTCTCTTTCCCTCGTTTTAAATGCTGACAGATCCCAGGATGCAGATTGTCGGAGTGACGATTGATCTGTCAGTGCTCGCCAACTCTCAGCCTGCTCCCCTACCGACATTATCGCCCCTCATCACAGAGTTATCAGTTTATTCTTCCCCCCTTTCCATCCCTCCTTCCCCTCCCCTCTTTCCCCCCTATCCACACGTCAAATATTCTGCCTTGGCAATAGAGGCAAGGTGTCCATCCGGCAGCTTCCTCCCTCCCTCACTCCCTCCCTCCCTTCCTGCAATACAGATAACCAGTGAGGACGGGCTCAGCAAGCGGAAAGACGCAGGCCAATTTGCTGTCCCTCCACTGCGGTGCTGGCCAGTAGAGTTATGGGGAGAGGGGTGACCCCATGGCAGCCAGGCCCATCCATCGGGGGCTGCAGTGGGCTGGCCACCCTGGTAATTGCCCTGGAAGTGTTGTTTTGACAAGGCAGACGGGTGTAAGCCATCACTCCTGGCGCACGTTGATGAGGTGTCACCTGGAGAGGCTGTGGAGAGGCAGGCTGTTTACACGGCGCCAGGTGACCCACTTCTGCCCAGATTGAGACCGCCGGACTGTCTGTCTGTCTGCACATTCCGCTTACGCACATACATACACACGCATGCACGCACAGAGAGACACAGACACACACCTCAACACCTCCCCAAACTGTGTGAATACAGCCACGTGCCCAATTACACACAGGCGCACATATCTTTATATATTGTATTGTTCTAACATCATACAATTATTTTTCACTTACCTTATCAACTAACTAATATACATTTTATTTTGCCCAATGTGCTGTAGGCCTGCATTAGGCCTGTATGTGTAAGCCAGGGTCTTTACTGAGGTAAGGCAGATGAAATAGCCAGCTCCAGGCTAGGGCCACATTGTGCATGTCATTTACCAATCCTCTGGTCACCTCTCACAGCCAGAACACTCATCCTAACACTCATCCTCCTTCCTGTCCATTGTCTCTTAATGAGGGCCATATGGGCTGGGGCCAGGGCTGCTCTTATAGCTGGTAAACACATGCAGGCATACACACACACACACACACACACACACATACGTGAACACATTCTCATATGCACCCACGCACAGACAGACATGGCGCACACACACACGTTCACACGCATACACAGACACACACGCGGCCAAACACTCTCACACAACTCATTGCCCCCCCCCCCACCCCACCCCACCCCAGCGCTCATTGTCTGTCTGCAGACTGTGTGTGTGTGTGTGTGTGTGTGTGTGTGTGGATGGAGTGCTCTCTCCAGGACCAGACTACCATTATTAAACATCTGCCTTCAGCACATTAATCCATGTGGCTACGCATCCCTCACATCCCAGGGATCACCTAATTGAAATCCATTATGACTTTTTTTAAACCTCTAGTTTTCCATTCTTTCCCAATGCTTTTAGACCAATTTGAACCTCTCTCTCTCTCTCTCTCTCTCTCTCTCTCTCTCTCTCTCTCTCTCTCTCTCTCTCTCTCTCTCTCTCTCTCTCTCTCTTCCCTCTCTTCAACTCATCCTAATATCCTACTAATGGATAAAAAGTGTGATTTTGCCGGCGGAGGAAAATAAAAATCATATCTTAATTGTTTAAAATAGTTTAATGTTGGGGTGTTTTATCATTATTTGTGGCGGAATTCATGCAGACAGGGGTGATCTGTTAAGATTGCCGCCATCATGCACGTCTGATGATGATCCTCAGTGTGTATGTGTGTGTGTGTGTGTGTTTGTGTGTGTGTGTGTCCCACTCAGAAGGACATTCGCTGCTGCCGGCCCCACCGTCACAGTGGGAAATTCATCACCGCACACACACACACACACACACACACACACGCACATAATTATTTCTCTGCCAAACTCGTGAACACCCCATCATCATCCAGGTGACTCGAGACATTCTCCCTCCCTCCCTCCCTCCCTCCCTCCCTCCCTCCCTCCCTCCCTCCCTCCCTCCCTCCCTCCCTCTTTTCTTTCTCTTGGTAGCAATAATAGGAGATCGGGGGATCCTGCGTTTGATGTCTGGAAGAAATGCTCAGTCGGCATCTGATTGAGGTTTCCCTGAGCTGAGGGGTCACACTGTATCACTGTGTCACTCACTGTATCAAACTAAACATAGGAGAGGAGTGGATGGGAGAGCAGAGCCGAGCATAGGAGAGCAGAGGAGAGGAGAGGAGAGGAGAAGAGAGGAGAGCAGAGGAGAAGAGAGGGTAGGGTGGGGATGGCAGGAGAGGCGAGGACAGGGGAGGAGAGGAGAAACGCATGGCTGCTGTCTGAGTCTCCCTCCAGACTCCACTGACCCTCCTTCCCCCCCTCCATCCTTCCATCCCTCCCTCTCTTCATCACAAGCAGATTGGCTTTTTGTGGCCAAAATAATACCCTGTGTAGTTAATGGAAAAGAGATATTTGCGCGGCCTGACTCTGCAGCGGCCCGAAGAGAAAATGAATGATCTTATCCTGCTCTGATCATCACCGGGCTTACAGCTGCCATCTGAGCCACCACTGCCTGCCTTCCTTCCCTCTATATAATTTTACGATTCAGAGATCAATTGTTCTTTTGATATTTTCTCTCTGTCTATTCCTTCCACTCCTCTCTCTCATGCTCTCTATCTGCCACCCTCTCTCTCTCTCTCTCTGCTCTCTCTCTCTGCCCTCTCCCTCCCTCTCTATCTCTCTCTCTGTAATGGCAGGGTGTCTGTGTGAACAAAGGCAACAAAACAGACCCAGACAACCAAACACCAATAATAGTAGCCAGCCAGTCTACATGGCTACAGGGTTACATGTCTCCCTCTTCTCTCTTCTACTCTTCTCCATCCCTTCATCCATCCATCTCCAATGTAGCCGTGGCTGTTGGGCAGTTGGATCTGTCGTGGCAGGCTGTTGGGCAGTTGGATCTGTCGTGGCAGGCTGTTGGGCTGTTGGATCTGTCGTGGCAGGCTGTTGGGCTGTTGGATCTGTCGTGGCAGGCTGTTGGGCTGTTGGATCTGTCGTGGCAGGCTGTTGGGCAGTTGGATCTGTCGTGGCAGGCTGTTGGGCAGTTGGATCTGTCGTGGCAGGCTGTTGGGCTGTTGGATCTGTTGTGGCAGGCTGTTGGGCTGTTGGATCTGTCGTGGCAGCCCTCCATTTCTCTCTGCCAGGACTAATTGGGGATCATGGCAGCGATGGCCATAGACCTGTGTATGTGTGTGTGTGAATGTGTGTGTGTGCGCGTGTGCCACCGCCGTGTCAGGCGTGGGTTGGACGTCCTCTAGCGTAGCTGGGAAAGCTAATCATAACCACACTGCAGAGATTAATGAAGTGATGAGCAATCAGAACTGACACTCACACAAGGACACACACACACACACAAACAGGCTAGCATACACACACTCATACACATACACACACACCACACTGTCCTGTCTGTCTTCCTCTCTTGTTGGCTTGCTAAGAGAGAGCTGTTTGTGCATCAGTGTGTGTGTGTGTTTGTGTGTGTTTGTGTGCGTGCGTGCGTGCATGCAGGCTTGGGTCTGCGTTTGTGTTGGCACTTTATGATTGTGTGTGTGTGTATGTGTGTGTGTGTGTGTGTGTGTGTGTCACATCACTTCTAATTCCATTTTCCTTAGAATGGCTCTATTTGATGTTATAATGTCAAATTCTATAATCTCAGATTGTTTTCTCCAGTAGCAGCAGAGCATTATGAACTTGTGTGTATTAGCAGTTTATTTCCAGAAACAGCCTGTAATTGCTGGGAATTGAACCTAATCTGGGCAATCCCCAGTCAGCACTGCAATCCATCTTTTAAGGCACAGAGAGAGAGAGAGAGAGAGAGTGTGTGTGTGTGTGTGTGTGTCTATATTTCAAAGCGGAGGTTTGGTTCCTCGTAAAGACCTTGACCCTTGCCCTCTCTGGGCCTCTGTGGTTATGGTTCAGCTGTGAGGTACCTAGGCCCCTGATCCCATTTCTCTCTCTGTGTGTGA